TTTCTTAAACGAAAAAGTGCCCCCTTGTTAACCCGTTTCCTTGTCAGTGCACGTCACAGGCTGTGTGCCCATTGTCCTTTTGTCCTGAGCAAAAATACAGGCCATCCTTTTATGCAGGAACTACTTCAGCCCTAGGTAAAAGGAAGCAAGGAGTGTTTATTATGCCTTTAAATATCCCATCAAGGTCTGGTGATAGATTGATATTGGCAATGGGAAGAGGAGTTGTCTGTTTACTGTGAGATACAAGGCAAGGGAGAGATGGGCCATGCACAGCAGTGTTCCAGTAGCATGAATAGAGCCGGGTGGCTGCTGCCTTGGGGCGCACTATTGAGTGGCGGGGATGGCACATTACGCAGCGCCTGCATCGTTAGTCTTTTATTCCACAAACAGCTGAGTAAGGACAATCTTTTCAACTTGCAGTGGAAGGACACTCATGAACCATGGCAACAAAACTACTGAAAAGGTCTATACTAAATTCAAAATTATAACACAACTCAAGTCTGACTATGACATTAACAAAAAAACTGAACAAAAAGTAGACATTAATATTTAGCTGACTGTCACAGAGAAAAAACAGCTGATCGAGATAGCAAAAACAGTCATGAGTGAGAAACCCGAGACGTTAATTATGAATGAAAGCAAGGCACTCCATATGAACCAGATCCTTGTGGTGATGCACTACAAATGAACCCAGGGCTGTGGCCTAGGTAATGGGCCTCAGGTTTTCTGCCCCCCCCAGGGAGAGAGTGACAGAGGAGAGGAGAGAGAGAAGGTCTGTGAGCAGGAAAACCATGACTAACCATGCAGGCTAATGGAAACCACATCCTTCTTCCTGTATTCTTGTGCATCAACAGCAGCGAGGTCTCCCACCTTTCTAGCCCTGACTGACCTGGCAGTGGCAGAGGCTGCCCCCATCCATCTAAACAGGCTTATCCGCGGCCACTGCTTTTAACACCTGATTCAGAAATAGTCTTCAAAAAGCTTTTTGCGTAACTTCCTCCACGGTTTCCAAATGGTGCATCCCATCACGGCCACCACTCTCCTGAATGTCTAAATGTCACGGGCAATTCTCAGCTCTAGGCAATGGGAAAAGAGGGCTGGAAGGAGTGGGGGAGAGGTGGCCCAGATAAAAGCCCCATAGAAGTGCAGATACCAAAACAGCCCCAGATAGGCTTTCCCCTGCAGGTAATGATCGAGGATAACTTTAACCTTCATGTGTCCTGACCTTTCACAGAAGAGGAAGGGAAAGCCAACGACCCCAAAATGACCTGGCTGCAGTGGGCAACAGTTTATTTATTCAGTATTGGCACAAAGGATTGTAAAGGGACTCTTAGCTTATCAATCATTGTAAGCCATTGTAATTTAATCATTTAGTTCATAATGGATAACCTTTGTAGCATGTCTCTTCTTTCTACGATCCAGTGAGACTAGCTTAAGGGAAACGTCCAAATGTCCCTTAAATGTGTATTTTTCGTGACAGAGGGTAAAAAAGCTGTACGATTCTCTCAATCTTTTGACACATGCTTTTAGCGGACCTAAAGTATTCTGTCCATTATAACAATATACTCATATAACTTCAGTCACCAGTGTGTGTGAGTTTCTATTGTGTTATATTTTAATATTCTGAATGATAAAGTACCGGATCGACGACAGGATGCCTCTCTCCCAGTAGAAGCACTGCGCTTTTATTATGATGTTGTGTCACATCTCCAGACATGACTGACTCTGTGATCAATTAGCCTAATAGCTGCCTTGCTGAGGTGCTCCAGGTGAGAACAGGCTGCAGATGTCACAAATTAATCACCTGAGTTAGCTTAATTAATTAAGCCTCTGGTGGAGCTGATAACGACTCTCCCAAGAGTTTTCTAAATTGGTGGTCCGCAACTGTGACATTTGGCTCTGGAGATAAAAAGAGCAGCTTAAAGTAACATGTACAGGCCTAGTGTTGGCTGTCACCTTTAAAAACAAGAATATAGGTCTGTGTGGATTACACATATATTAGCTGATTAAAGGGGCTTTTGGGGGATTTACCTTTCCTATATTGTTATACAGGTTTTTGAGCATATAAATGGTCCCAAAGTTCCCTCACCCACACACCCCCCCCCCCCCTTTTGAAACACCTCCATTGGACTTCTTTGTTTACTTCCGTAACATAATGACATCATTATGTAACACTCACACTTCTATTGGCTAGCGCTCCAACACATTGTTAGTGATAGGCCAAGGGGCTGGACATCTCTAAGTGGTTGACCAACCAGCACTAAAAGAGGTGCAGCAGCACAGTCAGTGCTGGAAAAATAATGATGAATAATTGTTGGAACATTAAAACATGTATTCATGTCACAATAGAAGCACACAATTCAAATATGAACCTGAAAATGAGCATAATAGGGCCCCTTTAACATAAGCATGTACTCTTATTTTACATTGTGTTTCACATTGTTAAGGATAATGAAATTGATTAATAAAGGTTTCATTGTTGCCAATATACCTAGACTTAAGTTCATATACAACTTTACAATAACAGGCCAAAGTTCATTAAATACATGTAGGTTTCTTCAGGTCCAATTTTTGTTGACCGTGTCAGAGATGTTGAATAAGCTCTGTGGCAAATACGGCTGTAGTTATTATTAACTCTGGTGTACTAACCCAGTATAAGACAGAACGTTGAATAATATGTTTTGACATTTAAAAAAAAAAAAAACGACTTGATCCATCCTGAATGTTACCGTCTTTCATCAAAGCTCCATTACTTTAACCTGGACTGAATTATGCTCGAGGAAAATCAAACACTTAATTTAGAATTGCCTATATAGCTGTTTTCCAGGCTTATTAGGACAAGATGAACTGAAGTGAGCTGCAGACTTCATCATGCCCACTCATACAGAAATAATGGTGGCAAACAGAGGCCCTCATCTCTCAAGAGAGGACCATCTCCCTGGGAGAAGGAACGGTTTACCCACACAGCAGGGGCTCAATGAGAAACACTCTCATGAGGGACAAGCACCCCCTTGTGTTGGACAGTTGTACTACACACACACACACACACACACACGCACATACGCACACAAATAAATATGTCAACTTTTGCCCAATATAAAAAGAACATTATTTATTATTAATAAATAATACTTTAGGTAACATCTTTGCCATAAAGTCAGTTGAAGCTGTGTCCAGTGGAGGAAGAAATGCTAGGATTTTATAAGTAAGTAAAATTAGTATTAGTAAATTGTTCAAATACTCCATTACAAGTCCTGCATTCAAAATCTTACTGTAATGTGTACATGAGTATTGACATCAAATTATGTTTACTATTCAGGACTAAAAGGAAAAGTGCTCATTTTGCATTAGGGACAATTTCAGAATAATAATGAAAAACCTATGAATCACTGTATGAGCTAATAATATGAATCTGCAAAGTAACAAGTAACTAAAGTTGTCAGATAAATATAGATAAGAGTAGAATATTTGCCTCCCTATTGTAGAGGAGTAAAATAATTAAGTGGCATTAAATAAAAAATACTCAGGTAAAGTACCTCAACATTGTGCATAAATAAAAAAGGCCTCAAATGTGATTTGAAAAGACAAGGAAATAGTTTTTCCAGTCAGAGCATATGTTACCACCCATGCCCACATTCGTATGTCTAATCTAGATTGTGTACTTTTCATTTCATTTTTATTTGTTCCGCTCATGGTACGCAAAACTCAATGTACAATAATTGCCAACAAAACATGTCTCTACAAAAACACCATTGAGCGAAAAGGAGCAGGGAGAAGAAAAAAATCTTATATGACGTGCCCCTTTCTAAAAAAAACAAAAATAAATATAAATAGATGGTCTGCCCTTCATAATATATATTTTTTTTTCACAGCCAAACATAACAGTATCTTAGGATACTTGACTTCATGATGACTGTTAAGGGCGCCACTTTTAGCCTAAATCATGTACCATTATTTTGTCCAGGTGGAGGCTCGAGGGCATTCTTCATATTACATGTAATACCCGCTTACCTGTGATTCACTCCCGTAAGAGCCTCATTAGTCTGCCCCCTGCCCATACCTGGCCCTCCATTCACCCTTAGGCACCTGCCGTCTACCACAGGTGGGCATGTAATTGCTCTGTGGCGTGGTCATGTTCTGAGTGGTTAGGAGAGAGCAGCCCCACTAATGAGGCAACTCACTGTGAGGCTTCTACGCTGCTGAGAAATATATGTATATGTGTATGTGTATGTGTATGTGTGTGTGTGTGTGTGTGTGTGTGTGTGTGTGTGTGTGTGTGTGTGTGTGTGTGTGTGTGTGGCACACATACATCTGGTATACAGTTGTAATACAACACAGCTGTTTGACGCTGTGTCAGAGACAGAAAACGAGTTGAGGAAGAGAGCCAACGTTTTGTGGGTGTGCTATTCAAACGGAGAGGTAAATGGCGCTGTTCAAAGTGATTTTTGTGTTTGTTTGAGCTTGGGGTGTAACTCTTCATAAAATAGATACACAATAAGTAAGAACAAATAATCATGTGTGCAATCGCTTTAAAATCAATTAAAGCCAGTTTGAATGCTGACCGCAACCCTTTGCTTCATACTCTCACTCTCTACTCTATTTAATAAACGGGGGAAATATCTAAAGTGGTTAAAGTGATATTTCACAATTTCACAAGCCAATGGTTTAGATAATGTCTCTACCGAAACAATATTTTACCAACATGTAGCTCTCTTTTTTTTTTTAAAGTCCTCTGCAGGCATGTTTTAAAGTAAAATACCCTGCTGTGATTCGTATTTTATTTAAAATGGCTTTCCCACCTAAAAAGAGTATAAAGAAACGCTTTTATCATTCAGGACAAAAGGCTTAAAGGCAGATCTACTCCACTCCATAATTAAGAAAATTCTGTATCTGGCCATGAGCCACAAACCAGTTATAGCAGTTGTTTCAGAATGATAAGTGTAGCGGCTTTTAATTGTTTGTGTGGTTTGTGAAGTTTTGGATAAGCTTTGAATACTCACTAGTGGTGCACTGTTTATCAGTGGCCTCGCCCTGAGTGCTGCTCCTGGCCTGCTCCTCTGCTCCAGCGTGGTGCCTTCTGGTTGCCACGGCGCCCATCAGCTCCGTCTGCTGAGCTGGCGTCTGGAGGTCTGCGGGGCCCACAGAGGATCAGTTACCGACAACAGACAATACTCTTTGTGTGTGCATTGTGAAATTGCGCGTGTGTGTGTATGTAACTGGGAAAACACTTCCGAAATATAGTGCTGGCAAGATAGAGTGCATGTGTGGATATGTATGAGTGTATAAACAACAAGAGGCTAGGAAGGTACTCTGACAGACCAATACAAATATGATCCTCCAGACAAATATGACCAAGGGGTTGTGATAGGGTCAGTCAGCGAAACGTGATGATAACGATAGCTCCATGTCCAGAAACTTCAACCCTGACATTAAGTGATATTTAAGTTTATCACAGATCCTTTCATCTTCTCACAGGGGAGAAAGTCCCGAGATGCACTGTGGGTTTTGAACCCTGCCGCAAATGGGCATCATAGCGTGTTGGGTTAACTGATAGCTTTATAGCAAAACCTTGACTGGAAGATGAAATATTTACGCTGCTGTATTCCTCCACTCAGGCAGTTGACTTTTGCTCCTGCAATATTCATTTAGCATCCTGTGCTTTTAGCTGCTAAAAGAGGAAATCAAAAGCAACAGGGTGGCTTCGGAAAATTGCTTCCCCTTTGATAAGTTTCTCGGTTGACACGGAAGAGCCGGGCCTCTGTGGCTTGAGTCAGAAGTCAATGGGCCCTCAGGGGGTAGGGCTGCGCTAATAGATAATGTTTTTAAAAGGGAAATCACTTCGTCTTGTGCAGTTCCCTCAATACTCGTTTGAGCTTTCAAAAAGATGTTATGTGCGTCTCATCTCATTGAAGGGATAATAAAAAAGATTAGCGGTGTCAATCGATTAGAACATTTGAATGCGTTAATCACGATAATAGCCTGTGATAAATCATGATTATTCACAAGTTTAAAATGCTAGTATTAAAGGGCCCATGTCATGCTTTTCCGGTTATTACCCGTCCCCTTGTGTGTTATGAAGGTTTTTATGCATGTAAACGGTGAGCAGAGTCAAAACCCTCAAAGTACACCCTGTAGCGAGTAAAACTCTAACACAGAAAATACCTCCCCAAAACGCCTCGTTGGAGATACGTCATTGTCCATTTGATTCTTCCATTTCGTTCCGGGTACGGCATGATGTCAAGCCGTACCCGGAACGAAATGGATCAATCCGTGGAGCCGTTACGTTAAGCCCCCGCTGATTGGTCCAAATTGACCAATCCACGGACTTCCTCACACACAGGCAGCTCTGCTGATTTCTCCTCCCTGGCTGCAGGCTGATAACAGACAGTTGGGATCGCGGCGAAATTCTCTCTGCAGACCCATTCTCACAGCGTTTATCAACCTTTTTCTTACTCAATATCAAGCCACACTTATTGTTTTTACTTCGGCTGTGACTTTGTGTGTGCTCAGGATGAGTTTGGCTGTGTTTCGCTATGTATCCTAAACAAGGAAACAACACCTCCACGGAGCTCAGCGCGATTCACAACGTCCCGACCAATCAGAGCACACTGGGCTCACAGGGAGGGTGGGGGCTGGAGCTATTGGAGCTACAACGAGCCGTTAAAGGCAGAGAGTGAAATTCAGTGAATACACGTAGTTTACAGAGATGCTGTATGCGAAACCAATGTGAGTTTGGAAAATTGCACAATATAAATCTATTCTAGTAGACCTCAACAATGGAATTATGATCGGTGGAAATGGCCATGACATGGGCCCTTTAACTTGTAATTTTGGGAGAGTTAAAACAAATATACATATGGGGTTATAATAAAGAAATGCATGATAAACAGTTAAGACAAATAAGAAGGTTTTTATTTTATTCTCACATCTTAGCTTCGTTTTCATGATTTCGGAATTTATTTGTAATTTTATTTTTTATTTGAGGGACATGTCGTAATGGCCAATTAATGAAAGGGTAAAACTAAAACTATTAATCAGTAACATTTCTTTCTGATTCGGCAGTCTCAGATAAGGGGGGCGGCAGTAGCTCAGTCTGTAGGGACTTGGGAAGCGAATAGGCACTGCTTCGAGTCCCTGTACAGACCAAACATTAAGTAGTATGGACTGATAGATAAAGATATGCCAGTTCACCTCATGGGCTCTATCAAGGGGTCCTTGAGCAAGGCCATAGGCCCCCAACTGACTCCTTGCTCTGACAACTCTACGTATTTGTGTGTGTATGGGTTCTGTTTGCTTTATTTCAACTGTAATTGTATAACGAAAAAGCAGTGAAAACTAAATTCTTCTTCTAAGCATTAACTGTGTGCTGAATCTTTCCAATGTGCCGGTGCTGTTGTTAATTAGTCAATTCCCACGTGGGCAAGTATAGCTTATACATGTGACTATACGATATATATGCCTCTATGCTCCATATCTGAAGAAAAACATGTGTGTTTCTACATTCGTAAACCTAATTTAGAGTAACTCTAAATCCACTCAGCAGTGCTCGGGGCTGTTTGGTGTGGAGAGACGCAAAGCACCATGCAGACAGCGAGCACAGAAGGTACTGTCTGGAACACTGGAGCCTCGGGCATCACATACTCTACACTAAAAACTGACTGCTCCATCAAGTAATACTGTGGTACAAAAAGACGGTCTCCATTCTATGAGATAATGTATCAAAGACTACACAAAAAGAAAGAGGGTGAAAGAGCAGGCTGGGGAAACACACATGGACTGGCTAGGGCTCATTATTCAAGTTATTTATTTAGATAAACAAACAATGCTTTTCAGTTCAGTGCCATTAGTATGCTATATTAGTCTGCTCTACCACCATCCCTACATAAAGAGGGCAGTGCAGAAAAAAAAGAAAGAATATTTATCAAGTAATTGCAATTATTAAAGTGTATGATTTTGCAAAGCTGTGCCTTTCATTAGAAGACAAGTACTACTCAAGGATTTGTTTGGGCATGCCCATTTCTTCATGTTTATCAGAATTAGAGTGTTTAATTTATCCTGGGGAAATGGGGTTCATTTAAAAATGTGTAAATAAAAAGATAAAATTAAACGAAAATATCTCTATAAACATAAGAACTTAAAGTAAAAATGTGCAAATTGAACAATTAAAAACAATAATATGTAAACATTATAATATTTGCATTGGTTTAAAAGTTATTAATGATGAAAAGTAGGTATAATTAGATAGAGGTGATCATGATAATGGAATTGCTCTTAACCTTTACAACAGTGTACGTATTTAGGTAGCGTGTTGCCATGTTTCTGCGATTCCTTACCTTTCTTCCTGCGCGCCTCTTTGATGTCTTCGCACATGCGGTCGAACTCTGGGTCCAGCTCGGCAGCAAATATAGCGTGAGCGGTGTCCTTTAAACTGCTTGCTCGGTGCCGGATCACCTTGTCTGAAAAAGGAAGAGACAACATAACATTAAGGTCACATGACACGAAACTGTGGTTTTCTGTGAGTACATGTGTTTTATAACACAGGATATTCAACCAGTAATTCTGACATTTTCATTTGTGCCCATAGTGGTACTATTCTCTGGGCTTGATTACGCCCAATCAAGCAGAACAATAAGTACATTTTTCTTACCATACGATGTTTAGAGTTTGGGACCAGGGAGGTTATGTTTTTGGTTTTGTTAGTTTGTCAGCAGAATTACAGAAAAATGACACCCAATTTCCATGAAATGTGGTGAAGGCTGTAGCATGAGGCCAAGAAAGGGCCCATTAAATGTTCGAAAAACAGGGAGGGAATACACGAACAACTTTCATTAAAATTGCAAGATGGGGCATTTTGCCTTGGCGGAGGTCTGCGCTCTAGGTCAGCAAATTGAATATCCAAGATAGGAACCTATATAAAGTGTAAAAAAGGAAATCACAATTTATCTCTACCAGAATTCAAGGCTTTAGACGAATCAGAACAAATTGCCCTTTTTCTCTTAGACATACTGAATATAGTCTTTGGGCTAAATTGGGTTAAATGTGAGTTCCTTTTTATGTCACCTTGTAGTTTTGCAGTTTGAGGTTGCATGTTCTCCACACCCCGTCATGTATGTAAATGGAAGGCTTAGACTTGATAGCAGCCCGCCCCTTTCCCCTGTATCTGTGAGAAAGGGGCTTGTAGCGTTTTCTCACAGGTTGAACAAAAAAAAAAAAAAGGATCGGGTTGGCTTTGGTAAAAAGTGTTAGCGGGCAGAAGTCAGAGATGTATGAGATTCTTGATACCACCACTTCAGCCAGTAAAGACAGAGGTGGGTGCATTCACACAGACATGCAAACTGAAATATATTTGAATGCGTACTCATTCTTTTCACACTCCTTACACCTTCATAACTCTTATGCCTCTTTTCCCTTAGATGTAGCAAAGCATCATTAAAATCCTCCTTCTTACCCGCTCCTGCATCTATGGAGGGAAAATAGAGACGCTGCTGAAGACGCAGGCTAAAAAGGCGCTGTAAACAGGCAGTCTCTCATTACGGCAGGCAGAGGGGGAACAGTTCAGGCAGAGTGGCAGAGGGGTCACAATCTGCCAGCTTCCTTTGTCTAATTGGAAGAAGGCTGCCTAATTGCAGTGGAGGCAATTTGTGTGTGCGTGTGTTTTTCTACTGACAGTTTGTGTACGTGCATTGAGGGAGAACATGCCTGTCAGAGGAAGAGGAGTCAAAGGCCAGGTAGGATGGCGAGAGCTCATCAGAACCCTTATGGGCCCTGCCTAACCTCAAAACCTCCAACAGATAGGAAGGAACAAAGCTGTTGCTTACGCTTCTTTCATAGTAAAAACGTTGTTATCACCATTTCCCCTGAAGCAACAAAGTATTCATGACACCGAGTCACATCGCGGAGCACGGAGATATCAGCCTTTCAACATAACCAAGTAATTATTTAGCAAGGTGAGGAGGTATGAGACAAGGAACATGATTGCACGGGGAGGACGGCACGATGAAGATAGCAGGGAGTACAAGGAGAAACCGACCACTGAGGGATAATGAGCTTTTTTCCCAGCACTTTTTCTGAGCTGGCGCAGAACTTTACGAGCAGCGTAATTGTGCCGGGCCATATTCCCTGGGCCAAGCACTTGGGGGGGGGGGGGGAGGATTTGTTAGTCTTTTTTTATTAAACTGCCTAATTGCATTTTTTTTTTTCTTTAGTGGGTTATTTGTAGACCCTGCATTCCAACAAATGACCCTCGCCTGCAAAGACAGAGATATGATTTATTCATTTGGGCAGACAAAGAATTGCTTCCCATTGGTGCGAGGTGCAAGACTATATCCTGGAGAGTGCAGCAAGCCGCTAAACACACAAAGCCACATTTTAAATGGTCCTCTCAATTGGATAGTATGAAGTAAGGCCAACTGCATGTGGTTTTTAATTACAAGAACATCTTTTTCTTTTGGGATTTGACTCTGGCATAAAAAAAGGTTTGTCCAACAAATGCTCTTCACAACATCTTTGGACAATTTTTACACAAAAATGCATGTCTCTTAACATGGGCATTTCCCCGCCATGCAAGATAGTTCTCCTTTAAACAGCAAATCTAAATCATATGTATGAGTAAGTGATTGCAAGGTGTGTGTGCACATGTGTTCTAGCACTCATTATGAAGGCCATATTTAGCTTTGGGGAAAAGGTGCTGAGACAAGAAGGAGGATGATGTAAGAATTGGTTCAAACTGCAAGACAATTACATGTTCATGCATATGCAGCCTTTCTCATCCACGGAGCATGAATTACACGGTGGGAATGTATTTTCAGCGGGGGCTGTATGCACTTTATTTCATTAGAATTTTCATGTAAAAAAAAAAAGAAAGAAAAAACATCTCGAGCTTCTGTAATTGTGCTGCCTGGAAGCTCTCTAGTCATTAAATATTAAATGTAATTACTTTTTATTCACACAATGACAGCCAAATGGAACACAACAGTAACTACAGAGACGCATGGTCATACTTATTTGGGTAGTTAAATGCCAAGGGACTGTCATACGCCATCGCATGAATAAAAGAACTTTCATTTGGGAAAAAGAAGTGTGACAGGTTGATTTTAGATTACTACTAATTACAGTTTAAGGGATAATTTTGCGATTCAAATCCAAATTCTAAAACATTTGGGTGAATTCACTGTTTTTTCATGTTTCAAATGTAGAGATTGTGTTCATGCAAGAAGGCACATGGTTGATGGTAGTGCAAGCATTTACATATTTTGCATTTCATGTGTACATGTTCTGAGTGTATTCATGTACATGCCAGTGTAATTGTTCCTCCTCACCTCCAGGATCCTTGTCAGGGTTGTATTCTAAAGCATTACTGCAGATGAGGTCGATGTCTCCCAGGAAGTCCTTCACCCTCAGGTACTGGTGGGTGTCAATCTTGGTCATGATGGTGGATAGATCCATGGGCTGCCGAATCACCTCCATGTAATCAGACACCTAACGGACAAAGTACATTTTATTAATAGTCAACTGTGAGTGGGGTACCAGGGCGTGGGGCAGTTCCTCTTTACCTCATCGATGTCAACTGGCTTGCTGAAGATGTTAAAACGTTTGTCGGTGGCCAGGCGCTTGGTCACGTCCCTGAGAAAGAGCCTGAGCTCACGCAGTGTGTTCTCCTCCTGCTCAGCAAGGCGGCGCTGTTCCTCTGTTGACAGGACTCTGGGCCCCGGAGCCTCAGCCGCTGGCAGAACCTCTTCAGACCTCCCTGTCAGAGGAGAAACAGAAACAGTTTGAGGCAAAAACAGAGACGTTTTATAACTAAATAATGTCTTCACACCCCTTCAATCCATGAACAAGCCTGATAAATCTCAAACCAAGAGCGATCGCCTATAGCAACCAAAGACTTCAACTACACGAAAAATTGCTACACTAACTATGCAAATCAAATATAAAAACACACATATGCCCACTGGTTGGAAGACATCAACAGACGGTGTTGACTCAAACCTGATCCTTGACTATTCCCTTTTATTATCATTGCCAACACAGACTTAAAAGTTATTCAGCCCAGGGGGGAAAAAACACGTTTTAAGATTTTCGCAGCTGCAAAAAAATAACAGAACAATGCTCCTTCCCAAACACAGGTTTTGAAATACACTAAGGAAAAGCCTCTGGCCAATGACAGAGTGATGATGCAAGGCAAGCAGATCTCCTCTCCTCCTCTCCCAAGGCGCCAGTCCTCGCCCAAGGCATCTGCCGACATCGTTAAGAAGGCTCCGCAGCACCGTGCGCCGCTTCGCTCACCAGCAGCCATCCAAACCCTGATTCTAATTATGGCTAATAGCAGCCGGCCCCTCATTTCAATTCCTCGCCCCGCTTTTCTGCCGGTCTCTCTGCTGGAAGCGGGACTGCAGTCTTAGTCAGGCAGGAACCCCTGAAGAGCAGCGGGTGAGTAAAGCGGGGGACCCCTGCCTTGCATCAATGAGCAAACTGAGGATGAACAGCGAGCACAATTTCCATTTGAAAGCCTTGGTGGACAGTTCTCTCATATTGAACCAGATCCCGGGGATGGGGGACTAGTGAGTACTGGGGCAATGGCAGGTCGCATTTGGGGGGGGTTGGAAGAAGGTTGCTTATTTTGATGTGGGTGGGGGATGGTGATATCCAGGAAAAAACTGGATTCTAGGGCTGCACAATTTATTAGCATTTCTTTTTACTGAAATTGCGATATTTTGTTATGATATAAGAGGGATTGATCATTTTGAAACATTATCCACATTATCATTAAAATATAGATTTATGTTCATGTTGTGATGTTTTAAGATCTGTACCGAACAAGGATTTTTGTCTGTAGAAAACCGGGACTTTTAATATATTATGTCATTGCAAAATACTGTGCTTACTGAGTTAGCTACTGCAGTGATTTTAATATTTTAAAAAAGGATTTGTGCAGCCCTACAGGTTTCACCCCGGCCAATTATATACTTACTCCCTCATCTTACATCTGTATATCTGTGTCCTCCTAAAACTAAATTGAACAGATTCTCAACATGAAATCATTTAACTGCAATGTGCCATATGTGTGATTGGTTATCCACACACATAATGTTGCAAATGAAATAACATCTGCTCCTTTACCTTTCCCTGAATCAAATGCAGACAACACTGCCCTCTAGTTCCGACAGCAGAGATGAGTCATAGCTGTATACTCCTGTAAGTGTATGTCAACGTGATTACAGACGGTACCTTGATTCTTGAGGCGTGGTGGAGGCCTGGCTGCTTGCTCCAGCAGCAGGTCAGAGAAGAAGCTCCTCCTGTCCTCTTCTTCCGGAGGGCACAGCGTCACTACCTCCCCGTAAGACCTCTGGAAAATACTCCTCACCTGGAAGAAAATAAATGAGAAGGTTGATAAGAATGATGTCGCCACCACCATATCAGTTTGTCTGTTAGAAAAAAAACAGGTAGTGTGCTGGTAAACGTTTCACGGGAAGTGTCCCTATTAAACCTAATTTGTAAACAAACCAAAAAATGGCTGACAATTAAACTTCTGTCGTAATATAACAAAGGCCATAACACTTAACATTCACTAAGGAGGCGTGTGGCGCACTGGGTTGTGCGTTGGTGTTCGGATCAGGGGGTCACAGGTTCAAACCCCACTGCAGTCAGCATGTCGTTGTGTCCCTGAGACACTTCACCCCAAATTGCTCCTGTGGTGATTGTCCACAGTATTGAGTATGTAAGTCGCTTTGGATAAAAGCGTCTAACATGTAATGTAACTATGAAAAAATATTTGTATTCTTTTGTTTCTTAATTTGAGCTCCCTGTAAAAAAATAACTTAAATTCTGAGAATGCTATATTTTATTTCGCTTTCATTTAATTTACCCACCGGATTTAACTGATTACTCCAATTTGTTTTGTCACCTAATAGGCAGTGTGAAGCTGATTGTGCCTGTTTTTATCAGCCACTACATTAAGCAGAAGTGCGACTGAGCACAGCAGAAACTCTGCATACTGATTAGAAGTTCACAACTTCACGAACAGATGAAATATTTGATTTTCACATTACTAAAGTGGTGAGAAGAAAATAGAGTTTCAGTCATTTCTAGACCAGATAATACCTGATCAAAGCAAATCCTCCAAACTTCCTCAAAGATGCATCTCTTTTAAGATGTAAGGATGTGATCACCGTGTGATTTGTTTTCAGCTTTCAGGCATTTGATATGGACTGAACAAAAGGAAAAATATCTTAGTGTTTTAGTACATCCAGTTCCTGCACAAAAGAGCCAAAAACTGCTAATAAAATGGAATGAAACACTATCATTGCAACTGGCATTTTTTAACTATGCGTATATGAAGTTAATCTCCACAAGTATGCCTGATTTAGTAGTGGGTCCAACACGATAGCGACATAATTACACATATGGATGGCATCTTGAGACACAGCGGGTTGTGTTTTTGCGGCTATTATTATTATTATTATTAAGCTTCCGATTCTTGAACCGCGTTTATGAGGAACTTAGCATGGGTAAAGAGGTTGGGGAAATGTGCACAGACATCAGGACTGGCAAAAATAGGTTCTGCAGCAAATTGGTTTAATCTTGCCAACGCACCTCCTATGAAAATGCAATTTTTGAACATAAACCAAACTCGCACCTTAAGTCTGATTGATCTGACATTATGCACACATATTCAGCAAACAGCATCAGGGGAGGGTCAGACATGTGTCCATAAGAATAGACAAAGATCAGTAGGGCTGTACCCGAATATCCGAATATTTGTTCGTTGGAGTACTATTCGGGTTTCAATTTCGTTATTCGGATATTCTTTTTTTAAATGTTTTTATTTATTGAAAACTCCAATATCAACATAAGAGCTTGTGCCTCTTCGGGGGGGGCTAACACTTAAAGGGGACCTATCATGCAAAATGCACTTTTGTACGTCTTTTATACATGAATATGTGTCCCCGGTGTTCCAGGAAACTCACCAAGTGTCAGAAAACACAACCTTCTCTCTTTTCCTCCATACCCAAATCTCTAAAAACGGGGCTGCAACGGATCTGATACAGACTGATCCAGATTTGAACATTTCTCTGACGTCAGGACGGAGGAGCTGACCTATCAGGGGAATGAGAGGTTGCCGTGGCATGGTAACAGCATGGTAACACGACGCTCGTAACTCGGCCCCCTCCTTTGCAGGGGGGCGTGGTCAGCTGCAGCGCATGCAAAGACAGGGTGGAGAGCAAAATAGAGCAAAATGAGGCATGGCTAAAATGCATGATCTGTTTGGTATTTTGAAAAAGAAAACGTATAAATATACCTTATATAGGTATGGCCCTACAATATATTATTCAAATATAGCATGATAGGTCCACTTTAACCATAAACGTTATTGTTTACTTTCTCCGTCTTTATATGTAGATATTACTTTTTCTCCGCTAATCTCCGTCACGTTGTTTCCATAGCAACAACAACTTTCTGTCAACAGCGCTAACTCTCCTTCAAAATAAAAGCATGTCCATACAAAATATGAAGCCACACCAAATTACACTTAAGACATATATACAACTGCAACGAAAGTAACAAACACAATGCAATATCCTTTTCAATTTCAAAGAACACAAATTGGGTTATATACATTAACAAATAACTATAAAAACAACAATACTGTAGAATAACAAAATGAATGCCGTGAATAAACCGAAATACACGTGTTGAAGCGGTTCGCTGCTGATTACTACGCACCCCCCGCGTGGGCCGAATATTCGAATATTCGCTGCTGATTACTACCGAATATCTGGAGCCCGAAAAATGGTATTCGGGACAGCCCTAAAGATCAGTCAAAAACATGGCGGCCAGTCTCCAAAACAGGCGCATTCACACATTTGTCTTCAGGGTTGTCCAGCAAAAAAGCTTTAATCCATTTGCTGTGATGCAACATGATGAAGGTAAATAGGTGCATTAGCTAGTCTCATACATGCAACACTTCTGGAAGATTACTTCGCTGTATCCCATTTGTTTACCTACATATCTATGTGATGAAAGATCAAAAACTTCCCGCCCTAAGTCATAAAATCCTGTCTGAGTATAAAAAATCTCTGTGCAGTGTTTTGGCATCTGATGAGCTGGATTTGGTGGCATGCTCACAGGCACCTGGGACAACACGCTGCTTTCACACAGGGCTGTATTGAGACTGAATCCCTGCTAGTTGATCATTCCAGAAACAAAATCACACTCATCCTCAGGGATAAGACAGCAGCTATATGCTTCTGCTAGTCCCAACCCTTTCCCAACATATTGAGGCTTGTCAACAACATTGTGTCTGACCCCAAACATGTCCTGAACAGCCAATGTGTCATTTCAATCAAATCGGATAAACAGGATTATACAATTTAAAAAGGTTAGACTGAAGCAATCTTTTGTGCAGTCATCAAATCAAATACACAGTTAAATCCCATGTTAAGTGTAGGTTTAAGGGTCTTGAATACAATGCCATGTCTTTCTACAATGCCATGTCTTTTTAACACAATGCAACACAAACATTTCCCAAATCGGGATCAATAAAGTACTTCTTATCTTGAACCTATTGTCTTTAGTGATTATAATGTTATGTTCAATTGAAGTTCCTTTGTTTCTTGTCCTAAACATTTGTCCTTGTTGATGTTGCAAATGGAGCTGCTGTGACTCAATAAATATTTCAGACTTGATCTGACAATAAAGTATCGTATCCTATTTCTAGCAGTCTTAAGATAGTTTAGCAGGCACTGCTTTCCAATTGACGTCATCCTTTGACACGAAAGAAACAACCTCAAAATATGTTGATAAATCTACTTTTGTGACCAGTTTTGACCCAATCAACTAGCTGAACTACACTGTATGATGATTTCAACCACATTTGTCAAGTCTGTTTCACGCATAGGTGATGTCTGTAAAGAAAACCTTAAGCTGGCTACACACCAACCCGATTTTGGGAGTCAGAGGCCGTCAGAGGCAGTCGGGCATTCGCGGCGCCCTACTCAGGTTGGTGTGTCCCGCACCGTCGTCTCTTTACGGCACCTTTTCACACCTCCCGCGGGAGGTCAGAGAAAGTCGGCCCTAGCAATCACTCTGATTGGCTGTTCACACTACCGCTGCCTGCTGGTAAGGACAGTTATTGCCTCTCGTCGACTGAAGTATTTGCGGTGTGTTCGTAGGCGGGCGGCGTAGGCGGGCGGCGTAGCCGACGCAGGCGACGTAGCTGACGTAAAAGTCGGGACCCTCCGTTCGAGTTCACTACTATGGGAGCGCCTTCGGTACGCGTTCTTTGGTCTCAGGTGGGTGTGTAGCGGCCTTTACTTTACTAAAGAGATGATCAATAACACATATGACTGGTAACTATATGGTCTAAAACATTAGCTAGGGGAGTTTACTAGGTATTCACAAGCAAATGATAAAGCAACAGAATTATCCCGCAACTGTATGGCCAGCCACTAGTTATAAATTATTAAAGAATGACAATAAAGTATTGGCAGACAAATACATGAGCCTCTTTCCAGCTACTTTAACTTCTGCTGTGCATCTATACAGGGGCTACAGGGGGCTTCAGAGATCCCAGTTCAATTCTGCGCTGGAGCCTAAGGCCTCCCCCGACGGGAAGCCCTGTTGCTGACTAAGCACCTACTTTCCACTTTATATCTCCCCCCCATCTGTCTCTCACATCGATCCTCTACCTTATCCCCGACATGTTTGTTTTCTCTTTCGCTCTGCATTGCCTTCGGTTCTCTTTCTTTCTCTATGACTCTCTCTCTGGATTTTGTATTCTCTCCTCAGCAGAGAGGAAAGAAAAGGAGAAATGAGGAAAAAACTAGAAAGACAGTAGGGGAGCTGGAGAGAGCCAAAGTGTATGTAGCACACAGCAGGTAATGATTTGCAGTATTTTTCATCATGATAAAGTCTGCAGGAGTGTTGACACCGGGTGGCTGAGCAGAAAGGTGTTAATAGATGTTTAAAAAGGAGCGGGGGGGGGGGGGGGGGGGGGGGGGGGGGGGGGGGGGGGGGTGGGGGTAGAGGAGAGAGACGATGCTTCAAAGGAAAGTGGGGATGTCGGGCTGGGTAGAGCAACTCTAAAACTAAAGTGGACACCTGTTCTGCTAGCATGATCAAATCCTAACTGTAGAAACAGACTTAAAACATTCCTGTCAGACTGCAGAACTTTGCTCTGCTATCTCAAGAAGAAAGTCAATCCCTATACCACAGCAGGTATAAAATAGATAGGAATACAACACAGCTTGAGTAAATGACTCAAATAATTTGCACACAAAAAAAGCTATTGCCGAGACACCTTTCTAAATCAGAATGTGATGCACTATATCAAAAAAAGGGCTTTATAAATGCATTCCATTTACAATCCAAAAGATGGTACGTTAATGCTTGCAGAAACTCCAAAGGGTGATACAACGATACAAAGAAGTAAAGTAAACATCATTGCAGGGAAGTGTTGATAATGAGATCCAGACAGAATTGTAAACACTAAAGTTCAGATAGGGATAATCCAGTCAGGGTAAGATAGTGCATTAGATAGAAAGGGGGAATGGTGCAGAGTCAGCAGTAATGCAGAGGCTATACAGGTCTGTCGGGGTGAAGGGGGGGGGGCGACTGAGGCTGAAGGCAAAGCACTCTATTCACCGCTCCTTTACATTGAAACCCTCATCTAGTGTCATGAGCTCTGGGTAGTGACTGAAATAATGAGCATCTGGATGTTAGTGGCCAAGAGGAGCTCAAGAGTTGAACCACTGCTCCTCCAAATTGAATGGAGCTAGTTGAGGAGTTTGATTCAGATGCATCACAGTGGCATCTGAATCCTGTGGAGGTGTTCCAGCACAGCACTCATCCAAGAGGCGGTGGCTAGAGATAAGGACATGTGGACTAGGCTTGGCAAGGCTGTTGCCACTGCGACCCAAACTCTAACTCAATCATTTATATCCACTGAGGAATAATGAACACTGATGTTTAAGTGCATTGGCTAAGAGTTGCTTTTGCAGAAACACAAGCGCTGGTATACTTATAAAATAAAAATCGGAATTTAGAAAGTCCGATGTTTCAATTATTCGTGAAGACAAAAGTGGTACAATGTCACACCATTGATTGTAGTGGGAACTAGAGAAGAGACTCAGCATTTGTTTTCGATCCGCTGCAATTTGTGAACTAATAAAGGGGACATCATCATTTCTGTCATGGGTCCTATGTGTATTTTAAAGCCTGAGCACATTGAATATTTAGATGCACTGGAATTCAGGAGGAGTGTAGGGTCCCATCAGATTCTTCCCATCTGCCAGCCAGTGTTGCAAAGCTGTTATTTCACGTTTGCACTATACTTCAGGACACACTTTAAAAATGTATGGTTGTGCAACATACATTTGAGATGTCCTGTGCTGCATTGAAACATAATCAAGGTTTGAAGCCTTAGAAACATGTCATCTGCAGTGTGCCTGAAAACATGTTAACCGTGCTCTCAGCAAAATAGAACTCAACTATAATAAAAGTGAGGTGTGACGTTTTGAAAATGATTAACCCTGAAACCCTTCAAATGCAAGCCATTTTTAATTGTGTCGCATTATCTAACAAAAGCAAAATACATAGCTGTTGTTTCGTGCTGTGTCTTTATCTCAGCATTAGAACTAGATGAATGAAGCATCAATACACAGGTCCTGTCCTTATAGCAAATCCTTTGGTAGCAAGCAGGTCATTTGTGCCATTACCATATCAAACATCCCACAATGTGTTTCAACGTTTAAAGTAAAAAACTGATACGACAATATATCTCACACTAACTGCAGTAACTTCACACTTACAATCACATGTTCAAGCTATTTCCCTCGGTCCTCCACAGAGGAGGAAGTGAGTGTAAGCAGAGTGAACGGCTGTTAAGGGACGGAGGGAGGCTATGTAGTCGGACCTAGGCTTGTAGTGTCAGTTTTGGCTGGGGAGGGATGCTGCGTGTTCCCCGCTGTGGTTTGGAGCTGAGACAGCAGCTGTCACTGTGTTCTCCGTGCCAGGGAGTGAAACAACACACACATAGCCAAATCACTCAAAGCACCATAGACTGTCAATGCCAAGAAAGACAAAAATCCTCAAAACTTGATGAAAGAAGCTTCTGGGCCACTTTAGAGACATGAGATGAGCAATATCATTTAATAAAACAAACAGTCCAATTAATAGAAAACACAACTGCTTAACACAAACACAGCCACAGCAAGTTCCACCCATTCTGCAAATCATACTCTGTGGACAACCTGGGGGCCTGCTTCAGTGGGAGCAAATACTACATATGTTTTAGGGCTGCACAATATGAAAAAGAAAAAAGGTATTGCAATTATTTTTGACTGATATTGTAATATGGTTCACCATATCAGAGGGAACAGTCATGTTTGAAACATACATTATTCACATTACAATTGTAAGGTATATAAAAATGGTCATAATGTGATTTTTATCTGTATCAATCTAGGATCTTGTTTATGTCTGTAGTGTTTGTTGGCCGGGATATCACTACAGCGCCACAACACTTCATTCAGAAATATATATTTTTTAATGTTTGCCTTACGATTTCCATATTGCATTAGTGAATATTACAATTAAAGGTAGGGTAGGTAAGTTTGAGAAACCGGCTCGAGATACACTTTTTGTTATATTCCATGGAATGCTCTTAACATCCCGATAGCAATGAATATCTTGCAAAAAAAGTGCTTTGACAAAAAATCCATAAAAAAATGTCATCTGTGGAAGCCGTAATACTGTAAAAAGTACGACCAATCATTTTAGCCGGCCCGGCTAAAATAACTGGATGGCCTACCTGCCTGTCAGCCTTCCATCTGTGCACAAACTTATCTCGTGCCCTCATTGGTCATGTGCGCGTTCGTGTGTGTTGGAGGAGGGGCTCTATAAGGAAGTGGCAGATTTTCTCCGGTTGTGTATTTTCAAATTCTAGCGATCTCGAGCCGGTTTCTCAAACTTACCTACCCTACCTTTAAGATTACATTTGTATTAATTGTGAAGCCCTGATATGTTCCCTTACAGACATACAGAAAGATGTTACACCAGCATCACATAGAAAACCACCATCAGCAGTTTTGTGAGTTTCTATGTCCGTCTTCAACATAGCTTGTTTGTGAATCCTTATTTTAATAGTTAGAATCATTTGAAAACACAACTATTTTCAGATGTGTACTCTTCTTGTTTTACTGGTTACCATCATATATAGTATAGTTATAAGAAACATTCATCAAAGTTATTCTATTGTTTATAGTAGATGTAACACCATTGGTTTAGTCTATTTGGAGCATTTTTGGTAATTGGAAGCTTCAGCATAACAGATTTACGAGTTGCCGTCAAAATAACCAGACTCACTTTTATTGCCATATCAAAACTAGTAAATAAGTATGGATTTTAGGAAGCATAACAAGGCACAAGGGTTTGGCAACAATGTTCATCTTTGTTGACAGTTTATGCTGCACATTTGTCTTTGCTAGTGTAGAAAGGAGCCAGACCGGGGCAGAGTTTGTGGCACAGGTACATGGTTTGCTTTAAACTAAATTCAAATGAGAAAAGGTCTGGATCTTCTTACAATGTAACTGCACAAAAGAAAGAAAAAGAACTGATTTACAAGTGCAATGATGCGATCCAACTTCAAACTTTCAGCACAAGACAATGAAATGGGGAAAGAGAGCCAACATAGCCTAAGGACAGTCTTGATATCCTCATGCTGGCTCCACATTGACTTGAGCACACCATTGAGCTTCCCAATCTTCCACACTGCATGGCTATGTGTGCAATCACCACAGTGGTAATTGCCAATCCTACATGGATTCATCCAGTCACCTAGTATGTAATGAACAGCAATCAGCCATGTGACACAGAGGCTGACGGGGTCTGTGGGGTGAGATTCATTCCATGTTCATACTTAACACAGCATGTTAGTCAACAAGTTAAGTGAATTGAAAATACTTAAAGAATGTAAGAAAGGCAGAAACTACCAATCACACAAGAGGAAGGAAAGTAAAAACACTCATACGCGCACACACGCTCACACACGCACCCACACACACAGAAAAAACATGCATAGTCTGCACAGGCATATCGACATGTTGTGTGTGTCCTGGGGTGATGACATGAGGCTGCCAACCCCCGGACCTAATTAAAGCTCTTTTCTTGCCCGACAAGAGAGGACCCTCTTCCTTATTTCAGTCTCTTTTTCCCCCCTTTCCAATTTTCTCTATTTCTCCTTCCCCCAACCAAAACCGTCCCTTACAGGCTAACCCACAACGGGTGGTCTGACTCTGCTGTGGCTATTCAGAAAGAGAATAATAAATCCAAGAGGAAGGGATGAAGGGGCAGGGGATGGGATCCCCATGGTGAAAACGGGCAGTGGGATAAATGACAAGAAAAGAGAGATGGAGTAGAAAAAACTCTGTGGGAGCAGATGACCTTGACTGTGACACCATGTGTGTGTCTGCACTAGTGCTCCTGAGTATGAGAGGCACAGAGAAGCCTCATGCTTTAGCCTCCGATACCATATATAAAAAGACATCAAGGTAACGCTCTCCTCTCTCATATACTGGAAGCAATTCCATCAACAGCAATGTGTAATCACAAAAAACATGGTGCAAGCCTCGAGGTAAATCTGAAAATGTCAGCACAGACGTGTGTGTACATGGTGTGCCTACCTCGTCTGACAGCTGTGAGTAGTGAGTCTCAGCTGTGGCGAGGATGAGGACGGGGCTGAAGGAGGGCACATCATGCAGCAGGGTGAGGAAGGTGCTCTTCACAGTGTCACTCACTGTCTCCCACCACTCTGAGATGTGCGGCATGAAGACCACGCTGGGCACGCTCCGCCGGGCCTCCCGGAAAACCTGCAATGCACACACACATATGTCAAACACACGTTGGGCCTGATGCAGCAACATTTTCTTGAATATTTCTGAAATGTTATTTCATTTTTTGGACTGTGAGTGTTTCTGGACTGTGTAATCAAAAGGGTTTTTTCTTATTTTGACAAGAATTATCTTGACTACTCGTACATTTTTATCAGCAAAAAGCAGAAAACTTTTGTGAATCCCAGAAATAAATGGGTTCAAACAAAACAGAGTATAATTATAGAGAGGAACAAAAATATAAAGTAAATGTGTAATTATATCGCTTCCTGCAATAAGCCAATTGTAGCTTCAATCTAACCCAATTAAAAAAAGGTGTGATAAATCCTAAAAGCCAGTAAGTTGCTTACTCCTTTCAGATTTCAACCACCTGTGCAGCAGATGGCCTTGGGTGGATGTGTGTGTATGTGTGTGTATGTGTGTGGATGTGTGTGGATGTGTGTGTATGTGTGTGGATGTGTGTGGATGTGTGTGGATGTGTGTGGATGTGTGTGGATGTGTTTGTTACCTGAGCACAGGACTCCTCTGGTGTCTTACAGCTGACGGAGTAGAGAGTGGGCAAATCCAGGCGGTGCACCGGCAGTTTGTCTAGGTGGTGCAGCAAGGCGGGGGCCAGGTGGGAGCTCTGTCCTGAGCCCGAGGCCCCGGCCAGCATCAGACGAGGCCGGTATGCTGTGGGCTGTTGGAGGGCGGAGCTAGAAGCAGGAGAGAGTTCAAGTTTTGATCACTGGGCAGCAGTCATACTGTCATTCAAACGACATTGGCACAGTATTGCTTCAGTTCAATTCTGTTCATTTCCTTCAGAAGTTGATATTGCAGTGTAAATCTACACTTGACACTAACTGCAAAACCCTGAAACCCTTCAATTGAAATTCCTATTTATTGTAAATGGCATTCGAACACCGTTGCAGTTAAACCACTGGAATGTTCTAATATTGTCAACATATGCTGAATATGTAAACAATATAACATTCCAGATAGCTTCACATATTGTGTAATGTCAGTTTGAAAGATTTTAAGGACAAAACAGAGTTTACTGACGAAAATAAGAGCACAATAACGATCTTAAGAACAACATTAAACACATCAAGTCCGAGTAAAAGCAACCCTGTATCCGAATAACGTACCACTGTGGCACATGTGTTAAAATAACTAATTCTCTTATATAGTAACAGAGCCTACAGGCATTACACGGTTAAGTTTAGGGACCATCCAATAAAGCATTTAAATATCTAAATACATTGCAATGAGGGTTTTTTTCTTTCAAATGCCCTACACATCACTGCAGTAAAAAGTGAATCCTTAGGTACTGGAGGAATTGTCTCCTCTGATCTCTTCACTTTAAAGTGGACCTATCATGCTATATTTGAATAATATATTGTAGGGCCATACCTATATAAATGTATGTCTGTGAAGTTTTTTTTCTTTAAATACCAAACAGATCATGCATTTTAGCCATGCCTCATTTCGCTCCATTTGTTCTTTTCCAGCCCTGTTTTTGCAAGGGCTGATTCTGTGAGAAGTCTTCTTTGCTGCTTTTGTGGCAGACTACAGCGCCACTTACAGGCCTGGCATATGTACTACAGCGTCTCGAGCGGCAATGGCCGTGGCCCAACCCCCCATTCCCGATAGGTGGAGAGTTGCCCATATAAGCGAAGCTCCCCGTTTCTGACGTCAGAACAATTTCAAATCTGTATCAGCTCCGTTGCAGCCCCGTTTTTAGAGATTTGGGTATGGAGGAAAAGAGAGAGGGTTGTGTTCCCTGACACTTGGTGAGTTCCCTGACACACCGGGGACACATATTCATGTATAAAAGACGTACAAAAGTGCATTTTGCATGATAGGTCCCCTTTAAAGCTCTTCTCTTATCTTGCTTGTTTTCCTCCAAAGCCGAGGATTTTGTACAGGTGCCGACTGTGAAGCCTAGCTTAGTCGTCTTATATACAGTCCCGATGATTGTATAGGTAATAATATGTTACATCTTAGTCAAGAGGTGTCCTTTTACTAAGTATACTTCCGAGGCACACTATTATTCCCCAACTACACTATAAAATAACCTCACTACAGGCAAAACGTCCCCGTTTGAAAATAAATACATGTTCCGTGTCTGTTTAAATTAAAATCTATAACATTTAAATCACTTTCAATCTCATACAGTGCTATATTAAAATACATTTTTTAAATGTTTTATTTCCAAGTGTTTCTGTTCTATAAATACACAAAATATATTTATTTTCTATGGACTCACAAGGAGAAGTGAAGGAAGGGTGTGTGCGTTGCAGAAGAGGAGAGCTGAGTCTTTGGGGATGCAGCAGGCTGGACTTCATAGATGGAAGCGGAGCGTTGCTCATTGTCATCGTCGCTGTAGTCCTCTTCGAGCAGTTGATTGTCACCGCCTAGAACAAAGAGATTATTCAGCCATGGCTGTTGCAACTCACTTGGCCTCATCACAACGGCGCTAATGCACTTAAAAGTTTGTATCTGCAAAGTCTAATCCTCAGAGCGGCCCTATCACTGACATTAATGTGGGCATTTCACGGAAAAAGTGAGAGCAGGCTTATTAGGCAAGATGTAATGGGCGTTCTAAGGGGAAACGGCCGTATGGGAAACTCGTGTCATTATTGGGTGCGACTCCCGTAAACAACCTCCTGCTGGTCAAGTGCTGAATTGTGGGTAATCTGCTGTAAAAACTTCAGTTTACTGGCTTGGGATTTGAGATACTGCAAGCAGGGATGACTGGTTATCCAAACTCTGTGCTATCACCTCTGCAATCTCAGGGGGATGGTGTCATTGGTGTGTTAGGGTGATACAAAAGCACTTTAATAGGATAGGGAAATAGAAACAAATAATAAAATACTACTTAAGTGCCAATACTAAAATGTGTGAAAAAAGGTGGCGAAGAAGAAGAGAGCAGTGCCAGCAGTAGGGGAGTGAAACCAATCAAAGTGTGGGCTCCTACCGTGTGCGTTGTCCCTGTCAGTACACTGAGCGTGGGGGAAGACTCGGAGCAGGGCTTTCAGCACCAAGGAGAAAGAGCTGGCCAGCAGGGGCCTGAGGGTGGGGGACAGGGCTCGGCCGGGGGGGGCCAGTGCCCTCTGGGAGGCGGGGACGATTGTCCTGATGGCCTTGCTGAAGTCGCAGGCCCCCAGGACGATGGAGGCGACATCCAAGCTCAGTTTGACGCTGCTGCCGTAGATCTGGGGGTAGCGGCGGCGCAACGCGGCCAAGGCTGCCTCTGTGCAAAGTGCTTTGATGTCTGCGCCGCAGTAGCCTGGATGCAGGTGAGATATACACTGGTTATTTGTTTGCTTTGATTTTAGCTTTATTAAGGTTGTTTTAAAATGGCAGAAGAACAGGAAGGTTACATCAAGACACATTTTTAAAGACGCTGTGAACTGATTTTTAACAGCAAAGATAGGATACAGTTCTATGGACAGACTTCTCTCTTACCGACGCATTTTTCTGCAATTTCATCTATGAACGGCTTAGACAATTTGGGATTCCATTCCCGTGTGTGAATCTCCAAGATGTGCTTTCTGGCCTTGGGGTGTACAAAGGAAAAACAAACAAAGAAAACAGAGTCAGTAAATGAGGGGGCTCAAGTCCTGCAAAGCTGAATAAGAAAACATGTCAAAAACAACAATGGAAACTGTCACAGTGGCTGCCAATACTAACACCAAAAAAATGATTTAATGTGTCATTTAATTGGTGTTTTGCATTAGACAGGATAAACTAAACAAGCGTGACAATTATACCGGGGAAATCAAATCATAAATATCGTCATTACAATTTCAGCACAATACGCCTTTCATTTCTTCATCTCCACAGGAATCCCCTTTGATGAGCAGGCATTCAGAACAAAGTGGTATTTTTCTCGAATCAAGGGCAACAGTTTTCATCATCTTTCATCATATCTGCCTTTCTTTACAAAAGACACAACTGAGCCAGATTTCTTGCAGGTTTCTATCTCTATCTCTATAAAAAAAAAAACAGGAGGGAGCTGTTCTTGAATGTGTTGAGAAGATTGGTATTTGTACAAGAGAAAGTTTTTTAATCAGCACACTACAGGTGAGCTTAACTAGCAATGGCCTACAGATTAGGCTTTGATTACCAACCATCCTACTGTGTGGTGCGAGGCGACACATTAGACAGACTCTATGGAGTAGAGTCACCTTCATTGAGTTGTTTATTTGCGTCAATGTCACTTTACACGCGTTGTGTGTGCAGCAGGGAGAAAATACATGTTTCCCCAAGCACAGGAATAAAGTAATCAGACCTGCATAGCAATATTATTTTCTAATGAGCATCTGCTTTGTCGCTTGCTTGTTGGATCAAAAGACCCGACACCGAGGAAAATACACAGTAGAGGAGACTCTCAATAGCCCGGGGGCGGCGTTACTAATTCTGTCGCAGAACTTTTATGAGAGAAACACCAATTACCTCTGCATTATACTGAGTCTCCAGCTGTGCGTTCCAGCATTGTATGTACAGTAAGTGCTCCCTATAGACTAACTTGAATTCCGTTATCTCACAGTTGGCCAGGATATACTGGAGTCTGTGGTGCAACTACAACTTAGCAGGACTCCACAATGCGATCATTTAGTGGCATTTTGCAACCACTTAGAGGCAGAACTACATTTTGACTAGGTGCAGAGTGTTTCTAATGGGTGCAGCTGCATGGCTATTCTGGGCCCTGCGAAATATAGATAAGAAATAATGAAGGGGATTACCGTATTTCTTTAACAACAACTAAAGCACAGACACTTTTATAACTGGATTTTAGCGGTATTAAATGTCTGTAGGCTACATCTCAAAAAGTAGAAGAATAACAATGAATTTATTTGAAAACGGATGTAAAAAGAAAGCGTTTAACTTGATCAAATAAACAAAATCAGAATGTAAAACTGGCCTGCTCAAACTGTCCCAGTGTTGTGAATGGCCACACAGAGGTTACATTTAAAAAAAAAAAAAAAGAAAAAGCATTTTTAGGGCAGGAATCTAATCTAATATCTACTAATAATCTCCCTGTTTACTTGTTCTGTAAAGTAATACATTTGTTGATTTATTATTTGGTACGTCCAAAAACGCTTTTCATGAATATAAAACAGCACATTGTTTATTTAGTTTTATAAAGAAAGCTTTATCACTAATAAAGATACGATTGTGTGATGCATTCAATGTAACATTTCAGTAGGGAGCTCTTTATGGAAAGAGGTTTTCTGGAGCCCTGCTTAGGTCAAACTGCCCTGGCTCATTTTGGACATGCGGTTTTTCAGGTATATGAATGCATAGTTGTTGCCCCTACACTGAAAAACACATCTTCCGTGCAGGGAAAACAAGAGTTTGCATGTGTGTTTTTTGTCAAGCATGCTGTCTACGATATTGACGTTTCACTCTCTCACCTTCTTGTCGGGCAGGTTGAACAGAAACTCCCGGTCAAAGCGCCCAGGCCTCCTGAGTGCCGGGTCGATAGAGTCAAGTCTGTTTGTAGCACCGATGACAACTATCTCCCCGCGACTGTCCAAGCCGTCCATCAAGGCCAAGAGTGTGGACACAATAGAACTGGACAGAAGGAAGGAACATGTGTGGATATTTAGACCCCAAATACTTTACCGAGATGATATTAACAAGACTCGTGAGCCAGTACGGAGCAAATAAACAAGACATTATTCCTGCAAGTAGAACACAGACCTGATTTATCAAACATGCATAATTAACAAACCGCAGGGGGTGAAAATATCAACTGTTTTATTTCTGTCTTGGCTACAGCTCTATCACGCATGTATTACCCAGCAGGGCAGGAAAAGGAGAGCAGCACGTTTCATGTTTGGAGTAAACTTTTTTTCCAAATTATATTTCACAGTTACAAATAGTCCTTTATTCACAGGGATAAATTGGGAGCCGTGTTTGCATAATAGGATACTTCCTCCCCTGCAGTTCATATTGAAACGGTGTTTCTCAGTGGTTGAATTCTTGTGATTCTCCGATATTCTATTGCTATGGATACTCAGCGCCAAATAAACTAATTGAACAGAGGTGTCCCTGAAGAACTCAAATCCATATCCAGCCAAATCATTTAAAATTCAGAGCTGCAGTCTGAGAAGTTTTGAACAGTTTAGAGCAGTTAAAGAAAACCTGCACCACCTATTGGCTAGTCAAGTTACAGCAAGATTAGAACTGCAGATGCAGACATACCAATGTCTGCAGAAGTAACAGCAGATGCAGTTTCAGCACTTTCATGTATGTGGGGGGTACAAATAGGGTTTCTTTTTAAATAAGCCTTACCTGTGTATCTGGTCTTGCCTGCTAGAGCGAACAGGAGCCAAACCATCAATCTCGTCAAAAAAGATTATGGATGGCCTCATCAGGTAAGCCTAATCAAAAGCACACACAGGAAAAGGGTCAAATCAGACAGAAACAAATGATCATGCTCATTGAAAAAATATATTAAAGCTGTCTGGGTTTAGTTTACCTAAAGACAACAAGAACATTTTCTCAAAATAAGTGACAACGTAGTATGATCATTTTAAGTTAAAATGGGGTGCATATGGCTCAGGGGGTTAATGCGCTGCTCTCCCAATCAGAGGGTCAGTGGGTTCCTGCAGTCATTATGTCAAACAATCCTTGGTCAAGGTACCTAACCCTAGATTGCTCCCATAGGCATGTGTACGGTATTGAAGTGTCAAGCTAAATAACATATAACATTTAATGATAACAACTGCTGAACTGAAAATAGTTCTTCAGCAGCCATCAGTTTTTTTTTTACATTGTGAAGTCAATTCAGGTCAAGTGACTGAAGCTATGGTTACAAGGATACTTCCCCTCAGCAGTGTGCTGGCTAGGTGTCTCAGTAATATTCAATAATCAGTTGCTCTTCATCATATAAGACATCATAGCATAGAAAAAGTGTGTGAGGTTACTCACCTGGTCGAAGAGCAGGCGTAGCTGGCGTTCTGATTCCCCGACCCACTTGCTGAGGCAGTCGGCTCCTTTCCTCATGAAGAAAGAAACCTTCTTGTCTCCCTGGCTACACTCATTGGCAAGCGCCCGTGCTACCAGAGTCTTTCCCGTCCCGGGAGGCCCGTAGAACAAACACCCTCTGAAAGGAGACAGGAGAGGAAATGGAAACTGTGTTTTAATGGATAAACAAAACATAAAAATGTCGACCTCAAAACCAAATAAATGTGACATTCTTCGAATAAACACATCTTGGTTTTTCTCACCTGGGGGGCTGAATCTTAAACTTCTCAAAGATCTCAGGATAAAGCAATGGGAACACAACCATCTCTTTAAGTGACTTTATGTGGTTACTGAGGCCTCCCACATGGTCAAATTTCACCTGAGAAAAAAACACAGATTTGTAATCTAAGATATACATTCAAACAGTAATTGACTCAAAAAATGACAAGTCTACTTTGTATCTTTGTGATGACTTAAACTGTGCTGCTTTACAGATTTGTATTGTTATCATTAGCATTTCTACTTACTGAGCTATCAAGATTCATGGGATCCACGTCAGCCAAGCTGGCACCCACTTTCACCCGATCACGCAGCACCCCACTAGACAGATCTTCTCCAGTCAGGTTCATGGGCAAACATCTGTTGGAAAGAAATGTTTGACATTTATGTTAACATTTTAGATCTCAATTATGCTTTAGGTCTTGTTGGATCAAAAGAGAGGAAGATGAAAGGGAAATAATAAAATGTAGAAGAAAGAAAGCAGCACCTGTTCCTGGCCCGGGTCATGCTTTTGCCTTTTCTCCGCTCGAACCGCTCTTCATCAGAAGACGAGGTGGTGTCACTGCTGTGAATGGCATGTTTCTTGACTCTGGAGAAATGTGACAATCTAGATTTAGTATAACACCATTGCACAGTCATGTTTCTGAATTAGCAGAGACCACTGAAGGTGTAAAACATGTGTTCAATAACCACAGGATGTATTATCCAAAGGCTGCTTAGGATTCAAACATATGGAACACATTTAGCATGAGATTTCACTGCTATTTTTGTCTAAGTTTCCACCAACCTTATATGGCTTCTTCTTGCTGGGGATCTGTGGGTGTCAAAAAGTGAGGGGCTGCTCTGTTTTCTGTTCACCGGCTCTGAGAAAGCAAATATTAAGAAATGTCACACACTGAGCCTTCAAAATTGTTAAAACATGATATAATTAGTAGAAATCATTAATTAAATAGACACATTCCCTAACAGAGCTAAATTAAATGTATCTTTTATTAAAAAAAGAAGAAAGAAAAGCAATTACCGATAGGTGGTGCCTCATATCTCTGCACAGCCTTTCGCTGCCTCAGGTTATACCGTCTGTCATTGTCATTGTCCTCCCCTGCTTCTTCTGCTTCATCCCCTTCATCATCTTCATCCTCTGCATCCTGCTCTTCTTCCTCACCGTGAGAATCTGAAAGTCCCACAATGCCGTTTTCAAACCTCAGATACCACCACATTTGAGCTTTTAAAAAATTCATTCCAAGATCACTAAGCAATCCCTTTTTCATCGTTTTGATCAATTTGAGTTAAAGCTGAGTTGGTTTATTAAGTTTTCATGATCTAGCTCTTGCTCCACTGATTCAGAAGTACAACATTAGTAGGAACCTGACCTTCCGTTCCTTCCTCCTCTTCATCCTCCTGCTCAGTTTTACTCATGGCTTTGTGGTGTGTGGGCATGCTGAAAGTGCTCCTGCGCATGGATTTCCTGCGCTTCACCCGGGAATACATGTCCATGTTTTCCTGGAATAACAGGGGCTTTAGGGTATCAGTTATATTCAAATGAGATGATCAGGCATTGCAGCCATACTTTTCTATCTTTAGGTTGGCCGTTACAGCAGGGCCACACTTACCTCCTCAGTGTCTCCTGTCCACATGCGGAGACGCTCCACCTCGCGGTTCTGCCTGATGCTGCTGATGTTGTCCATTTCCTGAAGGACAGCCTCGGCAGTGCTGCAAACACACACACAGAGAACAAAACTCAATATGACAAACTAAAGGCACCTTTACAGACATGCATGAACCATTCTTTTCTTACAGAGGTAGAAGATTTACAGTGTCTAAAGTGCAGTTTTTATCTTTTTCATAATTCTTGTTCTATGATGGTAAAAAAGAGCTGTCCTCTGAAAGTCCAATGATCCTGCCAATTTACCCCATAGTAGAGCCATTGATTTCATGTTGTTGTAAGTCAGTCATTGTGCATTAAATTGTATATATTTGTAATAGCAAGACGGCTGTTGTTGCTTAATCATGTGAACATTGTTTCCCACAGTCTCTGGACATGAATGGTGATGACACGGCAACAAATATCACACGCACAAAGCACGGTAAACAAGACGAGGTCGGTGTTTCAAGATGGGTCGGGTGGTTTGTCGATATGGCCGCAGACCCCTGACGCACTGAGCAGTCCGCCTGGTCGACAGTCGTGGTGGAAGTAGGGGTCCCCGTCCCTCCCTGCAGGGAGAGAGGGCACAGCGCTAAGTCCACAGCGCTAAGTCCACAGCCCCGGGGGGGGGTAAAGTCAGGGGCTGACGTAGTGTCAGTAAAACTTCAGCCAGAATCAAAAAGGTTCTGATTTGGGCATAGCCCTGTAGTAAAGTGCTGACTCTAACTTGGGGGTACTCTCAGTGAAATGATGTGAAAAGCAGTGTAGAACTTGAAGCCTCACTGTTGTGGTGTTCAATAATTGATGAATATTTAAGTACAAAGTGTGGTTTCCATAGGTAAGCTTTGTGAAGGATGCACACCTGGACAATAACCAAACAAAATATATTTATATTATTTTGGGATTTATCATACTTTTTCTTCACTATAAGAATTAAATTCCATATATTCCAATATAGATAAAGTATGCTTATACTATTTAAGTCATGCTTACTTCCTGCTTCTCTTGTGTAAGGTGAAAGAGAGGTGTCAGTAGTGTGACTGCTAGCTACCTGTTGACCAGCTGGTCGAACAGCAGGCTCTGATTGAGGTGTTCGAACTGGCTCTTCTTCACTCGGCAGCTCCTCTTCAGCTCCACATGTCCATTCATGTGAGAGTGATCCCCCACTCCACGCTCCTCATTCCGGTGACTCATATGGGCTACAGTGTTAACAAAGAATATTCATTGTTATTTATTTGTATACCTCCTAAATCACGTGATCAATGTATGGCTTTTAAAAAAAGGAAGAAATTGAAAATAATTGCATTACCGTGGCCATTTTGCATGATGCGAGAGGACAACCTAGAATACACAGAAACGAGTTCAAATACACATGCACAAAATACTACATTTATTCAAACATAATATTTGTGTGCTCGTGTTTAAGTTTGCCTGTTTACCTCATTACAATAAATATCATGAGAAGAATGAGATCTGACTTTACAGCCAGTGACAGACAGCCGTCTAGAGTAAACCTTGCTTATTAAAACTTGGTACAGACAACTTTGTCATCACAATACATTCATATTTCTGCCAATGAGTATAAAGTCACAAACTACACAATTGTGTGGCACAATATTATACATTCAGAGTTACTTGTGAAAAGGGAAACAAAGGCCAGGAAATCACCTGGTGTGGTAGGTGGGAATTTCCCAGCTGACCCTCTGGGACTTGGTCTGTGGGGACGGAGAGGTGTCGCTGGAGCTGGGCTCAGAGGCCGTCTGGCGCCGCGTTCGCTTGGAAGGGGGAGCCAAGCGCGGACTGCTGGGACTGCTCACATCACTACTGGGCTCCTTCTGTTGGACAACCACAATTCAAACATGACAATCAGAACATGTAAACAACAGAAAAAGGTGACACCTCATACATTGACAACAATTAGCATTAAAACATAAATCCAATCAATCATCAAAAATATTGTATGTGTGCTACAGCGGGGGAAATATAAATGTTACAGCAAAAGGGACAGGGCAGATATAAGGGAAAAACTAAAATGAGTACACTAACATATAAAGAGGCAAGCACATGTTAGTGAAAAAATCAAGTACACAAATATGGTTGAACATAAGTAGCAGCATGTAGCAAACACATATGTCTTGAAGTAGCAGTAAACAATAATAAATTGTAAGAAAGGATATATTGCACAGTGTTACTTCACAAGTGTTGTTAAAGTCGTAAAGCCAGAATATTTAGCAAATAATAGGCAAGTTTAAACAAATCAAGGTAAAAATGTAATCCAGGAAAACATTAAAGCAGGAGCAACATATCAAAATACAGTGTTATGCTGAGACAAGACACCTTGAACCCATCCTCAATGTACTCCCTGAATCACAACAGAGCACCAACCAGACACATGTCCTTGATGCTTACGCCCTTCACAGTTTAACTTCCCCGCTGATATGAGAGCATATCTCACTGTTGTCATAGGCAACTGTCTGCAATGCCTGCAGAGGGGTTTGTCTCTCTGACAGACTGGATAGATAGATGCAGACAGACTGAAAAGTGGCCATGGTCTCAAGACAGGAACATTTGAAAAATGGCTGAGAGTTTAGTGTTCCAAAACAATCTGAATTGAGAAAGTGTAAAAGGTATAACTTTCAAGTTTTACAGTCACTGAACGCTAAATCATGTGTCCTCAGTTAGCCTTTCTTGCGACACGCAGCCAGGACTGATTCCAAATCTGTAACCCCTAACTTAACGAGAAACCTTTGCGAAGCACGTTAAAACTCAAGAATGTTCTTATGGCAATAAATGATCAAAGTAGCATGCAACACATGTGTTAAGTGCTATACAATTGCGGAAATACGGAGCCTCTCGCCTTGCGTAATCTCAATGTTTACATTTTAGAGACAAAGACTGTCAGACAGCTAGTAGGTCAGGCGATCAGAGCAATAACATAAGCTATACATTAAGGGTGCACTTCAAACACGTAGAAAAATAGCATTTGGTATAACGTTTAAACCGAAAATGTGAACATCCTGCTGTCTGTGGGGCATTGGAGCATTTACATCAGAAAGTTCACCAAGTCCAGACTTGCTAAATACGGGACTTGAGCCAGCCAACTGTTTGGAACCTGGGACTCCCTTCCCCCACTGTAAGCTAGTTGTCGGGCTAGCTATAACCTACAGACGCTAGCAAAACTAAAAGGTTTATCTTTTCACATTTGAATAAATAACTTAGCCAATACTTCCAGCATGGTGTAATGCTTATGCCCTCGTGTAAAAATACAGTTGTCTTTTTGTAGAGGGCTAGTTTGTGGAGACAAAGCTGAAACAAGTCAGCCGGGTAAAATTGCCAAACACAAAGGGAACTCAACTTGGGGCTAGCCAGGAGTTAGCGTTGCTAGCTTGTACTTTGACAGCTGTGCAATGCGTTCAGTACAAATGACACGCTTATGAATAACTGCATGCAAGTCTTTTATTGTGTATCTTCGTGACTGAGTGGGTGTCAACTTTGAAATTGCTTTTACTTTGCTGTAAATAGCACATAATGTTGGGCACCTTGAGGCCACAGCTACAGCTAGCTAGCCAACTAGCAGAGGCAGCTAGCTCACCCGGCAAAGAAAAGAGACCGGCTTACATGTTCCTCCGAGTTCATCTCGGTTCTCGACGACGACCTAGTCCTCGAGGATATGAAGTGATCGCTTCCCGGCCGTGAGCTTTTCCTTGTGTTCACCATGTTTTTTTCTTTCGTCTGCCCTTACTGAATCTCCCTAGCCGGCTCCAAACACTGCCTCAGTGAGCGCAGCATCGAGGCGCCATTTCTCTCTTTCCCTGTCTATCTCCCTCAATCCTACCTCCCTCTCTCTCTCTCTCAAGTGGATGTGGGTCTGACTGTTTGGCAGGTGCAATAACATTTGCTGACTGGACAAAACAAGCACAAAAACAGTAGCCTAATCATCATAAACATACTATAAATATCACAGAGACCATTGTAATTAATAGAAACCTTGTGTAAGTTATTATGGGTTATAATGTCCAATATACAGTAGGGGAATTTACAGTGGACACTGAGGATACAGAATTCCATAAAGTTTTGTAAAGTCCTTCATCTTTGTACTGCTGTAACACAAAATATCCCAAAAGGAAGTATAAACCGAAAAATAAAAGAATGAAATTAATACATTCAACCTTTGTAAAGTTGAGTACACAGTGTTCCCTTCAGAGATGAATATCAGTGTGCTTTGTCTTCAGGGTTTAGAGATTGCATTAAACATTTAAACCCTAAAAATAAAGTCTACTCATTCTCTATCATCTCTATTCCACAAAATGTGTAAAATATATATGTATATAAATATAATATGACTAAATATATGATAGTCTATTCAGACACTTAAACCCCAGTCATTAACTTCAGAAGTTTGGAAATATAATGAAAAAGTATTGCAATGACTTCAATAAAGTATTTGCAGGCTTTCCCAGAGACACACTTGTTATTACGACTATCAAACATTGTGTCATTCTTTAGTACAACCTCATTGCATGTGGTCTAAGTTAGGAAAATCATAAGCATCATTTTTCACTCTTGCAGTTTAAAAGAAAAACATAATATCTGTCAGAAAGAATTTACATTGTTGACCAACAAAGACTATCTGTTTTTCGTTTTGTTCAGTCTGCACTAGATTGGAACACTTGAAGCCTTTAATCTCACTCGGTTTCCTGAGACGAAAAAGGGACATTTAACAAATGTGTAGTTTGCCAAGAACTTCCTGTTCTCCTCTCCAGAACCCCTATGGGATCGTGTGACTCCAGTTTGGGGACCACTGCTGAAACCCAAACTTGTGTGTGTGTGTGTGTGTGTGTGTGTGTGTGTGTGTGTGTGTGTGTGTGTGTGTGTGTGTGTGTGTGTGTGTGTGTGTGTGTGTGTGTGTGTGTGTGTGTGTGTGTGTGTGTGTTGCTTGTTCTATATCTGGCTTGACTGAATATGCAACTGCGCCAGCCATCTGTTTCGTGATTTTTGTTCAAGCTGTGTTTTTAAAAAAGCACAATCAAAACTATTTTTATTTCTATTCCATAAAACATTTTTTGTCTGTGTTCCAAAAAATGGGCTACCCCCCACTGATAACTAGATTTAAACCTGTTATAATTCTCGAATGTTCTGCAATTAGGACAACACCAATTTTAATGTTTTTGATGCTGAAAATAGTTAATTAGTAATATTTTTAAGTGTTGATTTTCTGAGAAACAAACAAATTAATCCATCCTTGAGTACTCTTCAAGATAATGTGTGAATATAATACACAATAATGGTTAAAATAAATGATTATTATATATCCCATTTAAAAACAAGATATCTTCTGCCAGGGAATCCTGGCCATGAAAGAAATCATATAAGCACTAATTAATTGCGGTTATAATAGCTTACTAGTGGTAATTATGGGGCATGGCAATGATTGTCCGCACTGTCCCCTCACTGGAACACTTCACCACCTGAACACATCTTTATGAAAAGTTATATATGGCTTGTTTTACATGAGGTTATCTTCATCTAAAACTCAATTTGACACTTGTATGATTGAATGGGAACATTAAGTGATAATAGACATAGTTAAAAAAAAAATCAGATGGCAGTCCAATAAAAGTGCAGTGATATACAATCAAAATGTGTATAATACTAGTAGAATGATGATTTTGAATAAAGAATCTACATAGGATTGTTAACCTCTTAAGCCCCACAGAGGATGAGGACATTACAGTCCAGATGTGCAAATGTGTTCTCACTGTACCACTGATGCACTATATATATTAAGAAGGTTATTGCAATGCTATTAGGGAATCACTGTAAAGAAAGAGGCTTATGATAATAACACACATAACTTAATTATTGGTATTAGTATTACATAACTCGTGATAGTGGTGTGTAAATGCAGTGTAAATTAAAATTGCCATTAGGAAAAACAGAAAAATATAGATGGATACAGAGATAGATACATAGATACATACATAGATAGATAGATAAATAGATAATCAATTTCTGTTTCAATTGCAAGACTGCTGAGCTCATCGGTACAGTTTCACTACGACAAGAGGAGACGACGTACGGCACTACTACGTCACACAAGTTGCTCGGCAGCAGAAGAGCCACTGAAGGAATGGCTGGCTGCAGATGTGTAGCCCGGGATTAACCGACAAAACACAGACTGGTAATCATTATTTGACATTACCAATAATACGCGCATGCAGATTAGCATCTACAGTGTGTATGTGTGTGTATATATAAGCCATGTTGTTACGATACACAGCAGGTCCTACGTCGTTGGCTATGTGCGCAGCCATGTCTTCATACGCCCATTTACATAATGAACGAAAACGCTACAGGCTGCCTGGCTCAGCTGTTTATCGATATGGTATAACATAGAGCTCTATACAATTGACTTGTGAATGCCTGTGAATACATTTGATAATAAACCATTGAGATAATAAAGGTTTCCTCGAGATGTATTAAATATGCTTTTAAAGCTGTGATAGCTAAGCCATATTGTGACGTTTGTCCTGTCCACTTGTTTTATTATAGATGGAAAACACACAGAGGCCTGAAAGAGATGGACACTGTGGGGGATGAGAAAGATGAAAATTGGTAGGTCACAACAAATTGCTAATAATTTTTTCCTTAAAATCCCTTATATTAAAATCTTACTTTACCTGTACTTTACTTACTGTTTTAACAACTGTTTACATTTATCTATATATGTATTAGGCATATTTCACATTTACTGCAGTCCTGTTGCCTTTACATTTATTTGTTACATTTTGTACAAATTACTTAATTTTAATTTTTTTACACATCTTATTTACGTTTATGTTTACACCCTATATTTTAACACTATTTTATGTTTATTTTACGTGTGTCATTTTCCTTTTTCCACTTATATAGTCCAAAAAAAACTTGTTCAAGATGTTCATTGTCAACAACTGCTTCACTGTATTTTTAGTCATATCATAATACAAAATGTAAAACTTTAATTTAATGTCAGGGTTGCTATAATACTTTACAAACCTGCACCCTTAACCAAATGTGGGGGTGAGAAGTCACTAATGCAATGTTTCTGTACAATAAAGCCTGTCACTGCAGGCTGAATTCAATAACACATAAAATGACTGAATCATACACTTGTCTATTTCTTGATGGGTTTCCAGTGAAGAAAATGAAGAGGGGGCTCCAATGAGGCGTACCTTCTCGGTAGAAGACCTCCTTGATGAGGTGGAGAAGATCTGTTACGATGCCTCAGGGACGTCAAAGGTCAGCTTCAAATGTTTACCTCTAAATCTCCGGGGTCGTCTCTCTGCACATGGGCCTTCTGCAGCTAGCACAGGAACATCTCATTATGTCCTTAGACATATTTTGGGAGTTTTGACCGTACAATGTTTTTATCTAATATAACAGTGTTAGGTTTTTTAGGACTCATTTTGTGGTCCTCATTCCAGGTGGAAATGGTGGTGAGGCTATGGAAGGATGGCTTCACTGTTAATGATGAGGAGTTTCGCAGCTACTCCATACCAAAGAATCAAGACTTCCTGGATTCCATCAAAAGGGGGTGAGTGAATGAATTTAACAGGTCTTACAGGTGTATTGAGTACGATTTTATAACCTTTATACCACAAAATTGATTCTTAAGCTGTTATAGGGCTGCTGGTGAATACTGGTGACTTAACAACTACCTGAGTAACTGCAAAGATGTCTGGCTTTATAAAGTTAACCTACTGGCCTTTACTCTGTGACACTTCACCCCAAATTGCTCCTGTAGGGATCGCCCACAGTATTGAGTGTATGTAAGTCCCTTTGGATAAAAGCGTCTAACAAGTGACATGTAATGTAATGTAAAGCAATCAACAGATGACTCCATTATGAAAAACATATAATGTGTACAAGTAGTTTTGTACAAAATAGTACACAACAGTAAATGCTGCTTTTACAATCATACATGAGTAATAATTATCTTAAATATAATAGTATATAAGAGGGGACATTTTTCTGAAACGAGTAGCCGACATATATACACACATAATATATACAACAGAGTATTTTCACAGTGTATTAATAGTACTTTTGCAAATTATTTGAATATTTCTCAGAAAGATGGACATTCAAAAGCAAATAACGAAGCAGTGCTATTATTATTATTATGATGTCAAAAAATGTTATTGCGGTATTGTGCTTTATTACTGGATGTTTCTGTTGGCTCAGGGTTGTATTGAGAAATCACATTTCAGAGTTATATTTCTGTTCATGACAAACCACTGAAATAGGTATCAGTGACTTATTAAGGCAATATCTAAGGTGAATAAAAACAATTCACGATAGATGTGACTGAGTGCATCCAGGTGTTCATGCGTCCACCACACACATCCTCACAAACACTTGACCTCCATGCCAATTTTGAAAAGCAATAAAGTTGCTGGTCACAGCTAATAAAAAACTGACTACATTACATTATATCAAATTATGTTGAATTTTGGCTCGCTATCTCTCACTTTCTTTCTTTCTCGTTTTCTTATTTATTGAAGACTGGTATTACGTTGTTTAAATTCCTGTCCTCAACTATTAATATGATAATTGGGGTTCCCACAGGGAATAAACCTAGGTAGGAGAATTGTTGCAAAAAACATTAGGATAACACATTTTTATTCAGATTGACCCCAGACAAGAATCAGCGTGTTTCTATAACAAAAAAAGAGGAATTCAGATAATGTTTAGCTGGTGAATGACCAATTTTCTGATTTTATCTTTAAAATAATTAACAAATGCTGACAAACTCTTTAAGAAAATGTTCCCATGCTCTATGCATGCATTGTTTTTCTATAGAGAGCTGTACCCTATATGTACCTATAAGTATTTCACTCCAATGTAACATAATACGTGTCCTTGGTTCGATTATGTTCGAACATAAGTCCCTAAAGGGAAATGAGCAGTTCCTACAGACTACAACCAGGCGACATAAGATAGATAAAGCATAATGCTCGTTAGTGCTCATTTGTCATATTGATGTATCTGACTCCGGTCTTTTATCTTTCCCAGGGAGCTTCCGGCAGAGTGGGGGAGCAGAGCAGAGGAGGAGGAGCTGGAGATCAGTGTGGAGGACCTGACGGAGGAAAATTATGTCCCCAGGAAAAAGGCCTTTCATCCCTTCAGCGGCCGAGGATACCGACTCGGCAGGTAAGAGATCGATGTTGTGAAAATATTACAAAGGTTACGGGAGTATTAACTATGTTGAAAATAAATAATTGTCTGTAACACTATATGAAGGTCATGTATATAAAGCATTCTGTGCACATTCGTAAGACATTATGCTCCATATATAAGCCTTCAAATGACTCTTTATTAAAGTCTTTAATCACACATATCATTATATAGCAAGGTTTATAAGTGGTGGACATAATGTGTTATAGGTTTAGCATTTATTATGAGTTACAACTCAATGCCGAAGGGATAACAGTTTGAAAAAAGGCATTGACTCCTCAGTTTCACAGCACATTATAATTACTCTCGTCTGTTATGAACACATATAGAGAACAGCTGTTTATGTATTATAACGTATAATATATTCAACGTTTCTGAAATGGAATAATGTTTAATAAACCTCAATAACAGCATGACTTTGTGAGCATACAGCATTGTATGTGGTTTTCTGATACTTGCAGCCAGCAAAACACTGCTCGTAACTCATTAAATGTACCACCAAGGTTATGTTAGTTGTGTTTGTTCCATTCTTTGTCATCAGATTAGAATGACTGAAAATTAAAAGTCAAAATGACACTCCATTGAAGGGTGTAGCATCAACCACAGATTAACCCATTAGAGTTGGTGTGGATTTGAGTTGGTTTGCAACGAGAAATATTTTTGGCCTTTTTGAAGATCTATGTTATTTTTTAAATTGTGTTGTACTGTAGTTTTATGCACCTTTTATTAAGCAAGGAGCCACTAGAACCCGCAATTTACAGTGAGTTTACAACACCTCTGGGGCGTTGTTTGACTTAACACAGCACAGTCAATTCAGTAAAAGTATGCATTATAATGTCTTGAGAATGCCTAAAATGCGTTATAGACACGACCTTTATGTAAAGGTTTACCAAATTTGGAATAATAATAACCAATAATAAACCTGTTGAGTTGCCTTTAAAAAAAAAGTAGTGTTAGTTTTAAGTCCCAATATATTATATTACTTTATACCACTAGGTGTCCCTCTAAATCCAGGTATCAAAACACCCACAGGCAAATCATAGCACACAGACCTGATGAAGTCAGAGGCTCAACATTTCTCTGTATGAATACTAAATTGTCCAGAGAGTCCAAAAATGATTTAACCTGAGATGTTGACCATTTACACCTGGGAGTAGACTGTTATAAAAATACACAGTACATATGCTGTATGCCCTTTTAACTGTTTTTTAATCTTTTTATTTTTATCCCTGTCCATCCCCAGTGTTGCACCCAGAGTACTGGTCAGGTCACCATCTGTGCAAGAGGATGGAGAATCTCCTCCTATTCCCATGGTAACACTAGACCACACCCTTCCTGTTACCTCCCTGCAGATCTGGTTGGCTGACGGCAGGAGATTGGTGCAGAGGTTCAACCTATCGCACCGGTGCGTATCACAAGGTCCAAAAAACACACAACTCGGCTTGACATCATATATACATCAAATAATATCTGCATATCAAAGACAGACTTCAGTATTCAGCGAAGACAATATATATCGACACTCTCTACCCCTGCTATGCTGAAAGTAAATCCCATATCATCTTAAGCATCACAGGAAAAAATGTAGTTCAATGGATGACATAAGACTTTTGTTTATACATGCTCTGTGAGGTGGTGAGAGGGTTTGTTTGAAGATTATGTAATGCTTTGTTCTCGGCTGCTTGAGTTGAAGGCATGGTGCATGTTATATCCCCCTGCCACAGTGCATGGGGCTGCAGAAAACATAATCTGAGATGTAGCAACGGAGTGGATCTATAAAATCCCCAGAGAGGGATTGCGTAACTGGGATGCAGCATTTATATAACAGGGTTAGTAGCCAAAGCATAGGGAGGGCTGAACCCCTCCACCCTTCAGCTGGCCTCAGTGTTAGAGGAGTGGGCCGCCTTAAGATCGCTTGTGTATGCTGGACCGTGATTAATAATGGATGATGTTACTAGTATAGTGCTTCAGAAAGACATCAAGTGTCACAAGAGAGAGTATAGTATTTGGGGGGTAATGCTTTACTGTTGAGGAGATGTATAGTTCTGCCTATCTTTATTGTTAAAGGGATAATGTACAGAGAGCAGGTCATTGTTACAAAATAAACCCTGACTGGGTGAACAGGTCTAAAATAACCTGAAGGGGTTCAATTTGCAACCCGCTTCCAGTACTTTATCCCCATTATTACATTGTAATGTAAATATTTGCCACAAAACGCGACAAAAAAAATCAACACCCATTTTATGTTTTGAAAGTGATTTTATTGCTTCCGTTAAGAAAAATAATCATTCCACGGTATGAATTGCGTTGCTATATTAACATTGTGCCCATAGCAACTTAAGTTTGTAGTCTTGTTAAGATTTGCCTGCTTAAGTCTTGGTTATACTATCAAACGGACAAGTATATGGGCTGCTGCCATGAATGTGTAGTAGTCCGGTTTATGCTGTCCTCTTGGACTACGTGTTCCATCCAATCGCATTATATTACTATGCCACCACTTTCCAGTTCATGGACGTCTGCAAAGAGCCTTTGCGTACACCCTGGGATGACAGAATGTATGTCACAAAGACCCTAGCGGACCATAGCGTACTCTCAGATGCGAAAAGTCAAACATTGTCTTTTGCAATGGCTGTTATTCATGCTAAACTGAACATTTCCATTCTAGTAAGTTTAATCGTTTAATGTTTAACCTATTCATTAAATTACCACAGCTTCTGATTGAGGGTTTTCTGCCCTGTAACTTGTCAGTTGATATTTTTCTTTACAATCAACCATTCTTTAAACACTGCAATAACCCACTACAAGTCCTATTCAGTGTTACCTCATGTTCATTTAGTTGATTTCTCTGTTGTCCAGCTCTTTATGGCCTTTAAACTTTTTTTTTTAGCCATGATTGGATGGGGTCCTCCAGAATCTATGATCAGTGTTTCCATAGCAATAGTCTGTTATTCGTAGCAACGTTCTGCTTTACAGAAATCACAGACCAAAAAATGAACCAATCAGAATTGAGTTTATTTATCTTCACAGTGTAATTCTCTACATTCCATCTCGATCTACCTAATTCTGTCTCTTATTCTTTTCTAGGATAACTGATGTTCATGATTTTGTGGCACGCTGCCAGAGGAGATGCCCACCTTTTGTCCTGACAACATCAGTTCCTATCCGTGAGCTGGGCGACAAGGAATTGAGTCTTGAAGAGGCCGATTTGTCCAACGCTGTCATCGTCCAGAGACCCCTAAACACACAGTCTCCGTTTGGACACTCCTGACTACAAAGACCCCTGTAACACTAAACCCCTATACCTAAATCTCACCTACTCCGATTGCAGTCTCACGGCCTCCTATAACTTATAATGTGTCTTTATTCTGCAGTGTGTGCTGCTTTTGATGATTTTACAGTATATTAATCTACCTGCGGGAGAGCATAATGTAGATATGTTCAGTTCTTCACCATCACAGGTGCTGAAGTGCTGCTGTCAAGGCTTACTTTGTCTTCTCCCTCTGGAGGACAGTGTTTACCTGCCAACAGATATCCCAAAACTCCCAAACTCCAGAAAAGCAAAGTCTGGCGCCCGTGCAGATGGTCAACCATGTGTATCCATCTGTTGGTCTTCCGCATGTACCCCTCCCTTCTTCCTTAAAACACAAACACACACACAATACCACCACCAGCACCAACAACCAACTCTTTAAAGTCTTCCCCAACTGCACTATTTGAAAATGTAGAGGCTGATATATCAATGTGTATCTCTGAGTTTACAATTATATTTATCGAACATATGATGTTTTGTTTGCACATTGTTAATATTAATAATATATTATAACAAAAAAGGGATGATATGACTTAAAATATTGTGCAATTTTTGTGTGAAAATGTGCCTTCTTTGGGGGCGGTTTATTTCTGAATGTATGATGTATTGTTTTATTTGACTGCATCCTTTCGAGACATATCAAGGAACAATAAAAATACTCCTCAAAGTTCTAAATAATGGCATTTTTTTATGTAAACAAACAAAACAAAGTGGTCTGCCCAGATGTAGAGACTGCTGACAGAATTATTTCATAATTAAGTGATTGCAGTTATCGCGTTGATTATGACACGGCACCAAGCAGCACCTTATTCTGTGTCGTAGTGCAACATCTGTGCTGTCATTACAGATTGAATGGAGACTGAGGCAGGGAGGGGCTACCGTCAGTTAAGTCAGAATTAGAGGAATGATGACTTCAGTGTTGACACTAAAACACAGCATGGACAGCATGTGTCTGATAGTGGTCGTGTGTAATAGTGGGTTGTGGAAAAAAGTTGAACTATTAAAAAAGGTTAAAAAAAAGAAGCACAAAATCTCATTCAGACAGGGTTGAGTAGAGTTCAATCCTTTTTTCCTCCTTGAATGAGGCATCTTTTTGAGTGTTCTAGCATGTGTATGCACATTCGCGTGCTTTTCACATGCTTTCTTCTCCGTCTCCAAGCTTTCTGCCTGGCCTCGGGAAGAAGTCGAGCACCATTATCCATCTTCAATATTTAAAGCAACGGGAGAGCGTTGTGTGTGCAGAACCAGAGAGAGTACGTATTTTCTCATGGCTGAGGAAGAAGAGATGACAGCCTCAGGAATGTCAAGGTCAGGGGGAAGAAAATGTTTTAAATATTATAATCTCCCCTGAAGAATTACCTTTCTATGAAGCCACATTTTAAGATGTTTTACCTGGATGTGCAACGCTTTGGGAATCACTTGGTTGGCAGCCAGAGGGGGTCTGGCTAAAGAGTAAAAGAGAGCACATTTCCTTTCTGTTACATATTTAATAAGGCTAAGCATGCAGGGAATTACTTTCCCTTTAACTCTCACATTTCCTTTCAGAATGACCCTTTTACTCGTACAGGAGCCAACCTTTTTCATTTTGCACATTCCTCTTCACGCATTATCGGAAACATACCCGTTCTAATGCAGGTCATATGCCTGACTTTTCTACTGCGGTGCCTTTTTCATTGTCAATAATGTGGTTTTGGTTGAAAGGCTTGCATGCTTGGAATTTATGCAGAGGTCTGGGTTCACCAGCTGAGGTCTCCATGACATGTTTGTTGTCATGCTCTGAGGGAGGCTTACTGTGGAGAGTAAGCGTCTCGCACAAAAGGATCCACTTGTGAAAGTAGTGGGAAAATGAAAAGCACGCAATATATCATGAGGGAAGACTGAAAGAAGGGCCTGTAAAAGTAGAACTGTATTATATTTTCCGACCACATAAAGTCATATAACGTTTTTTCAGAGTGAAGGCTAGATTGATAGAAATAGTTTCATGTATATGTTTTCAGAACTATGGCTCTCTAAATTAAACAAAATATTAAATTATAATGGTGTACTCGCTAATCCCTGCTAAATATGCAGTCAAAATGTGACATTCTTCTACTCAACCACAAATTGATCCACTAATTGAATTTTTTCCTAAGTTCTTGGTAGTAACACCAGCAGGAGACCATTAATGTGTAAAGTGATTTTAGACACTAACAGTACAATTATGAAGATTTTCTAAAAGAAACATTCACCAAATTCATTTAAAACGATTTTTCTTTGTTATAAATGTCATATAACCAACATGAGACCATTCATTTGGGACTTGTTTGTGTTAGCACTTCACTTATCCTCCTGGGACCCAGCCCATTGAAAATGTCCTCTGTAGTGGACATTTTGTTAACATGCATCTCCTTTTACTCTTTTGAGGTAATCTATCAATAGGACATCCTGGTCTTTCCAGTGATATGTCATTGGCTAAAATTGCATGCTGGGAAGTTCCTCTTTCTTTTCATCCAAAATGGCTGGCATACCAAAAACAACATTTTATAGAAGCAGGAGTCAAATATTGTTGAATAATTGTAATTTTTACCATGAAAATCCTATATGTTCTTGTTTATTAACATGTATAATTAGTTCTGAAAACAATTAAATAATTCAAGTTTTGAAATAACAGCTCTTTTATAAATGTCCATTCTAGTGGACGTCAGGACCATCTTCATGGACTTAATGACTCAATATTGTTGCAGGAGACGGAACTGAAGCAGACATTTTCTGTACCAGATAGTTAAGGGAGATTCAGATTTTGAGCTCTCAGATGATGAGAGAGATGAGGATTTCACACCTGGGATAGAAGAGGGTCAAGAAGAAGGGGGTAAAAGATGCAGGATGGCTCCATGAGCGCACAGATACAGACAGAGAGACAGATAGGGACGAGCTGGAAAGACATGGCCCTCTGTGGGCCAAGAATAGCACCTAGCACATATGGATTATTGTTGTTTTTATTGTAAGTGGAGCCATGACAAATGAGAATTGCCTCAGGAATGCCAAGTATGTTTCTATGAGCATGGTCAAATGGAGACCACATCCATAAAACAAGTCAAGATGACCCTACAGCCCGCGCCGACTGGAGTCAATGAGGTACTTTTCCCAGTACATTGATTACAAAGTCTTTGAAGATCTGGAAAGATTCACCAAAAACCAAACTAGTTTTTTAGTGACCAAATAAACAGCAATGTTCAGATCAATTACTTATTTAAGTTTTAAATAAAGGTGAATGTATTCTTGTATTAATCACTCTATAACCATAATACGTTATAGTCTATCTGTTCATTTTGGCTGTCTTTTCAAACTAAAATGGTCCTGACGTCCTCTACAGTGGACATACTGTAACATTTAAAAATTAAATTAAATTAAAAAAGTCTAAATTGCAAGATTTTTTTTTTAACCCTAAATAGGTAGGAAATAAAAAATAAAGAAGATTGGGAAAAAAAATGTTTCCTCGGTTCCCAGGAGGTAGTGAAGTTATTGAATATTTTACACATGGAAAAAAAAACTAAATTATGCAAAACAAGCATATATTTCTTTAAAACAAGTTTTGTATGCTAACCAGTGGGAGACCATTATTGTGCGGTCCCTGCGTATGCTTCTCTCCTCTGGCTGCAGATGTCCTGCGAACTAGCTTGTTTTTTATTAACATTAGCACAAGTAGCTTGTTGTCTACTTTACTACGGTTGTTAATGGACGTAGTTTTATGGACAAAAAAACTTTTGTGTGTATGTTATTAATCCCTAAAAGTCGAATCCGTCAATACATTTATAATTTTACCTAACTAGTAAATTATGCTAATCCTGATGCATTGTGGGAAATATGCATAATGCAGCTAGACGCTTTGGCGCGTTTTTGTTGAGTTATTTTCACACACACACACCTTTCCGGCTCCTTGTTCAAGGGATTATGCATACACAGGTAATTGTGTGACAGAAATTAAAAGTAACTGCATTTTAGACATTCCAAGTGCACCACACCACTTCACTGGAAAATATCTGACATGCTCGACCGAATTATGAACAGATAACAATGACACTGCAATAACAGAATCATATGAGACAGGTGAGTGTTACCACCTTTAGACCTTTCATACAGATGTTATATTTTACTACTGGATAATACCATAGGGATGACATAGGTTTGTTTATCACACAAGATTACAAAACGAGATTTGGTCCCTCTGTCGCTACTAAGCCGTTATGAAATATTATACAACAGTATTTTCGTTGCGTGGCCTCATTGCAATGTTTCCCCATCCACAACACACTGCTGGTGTCAAACGCTAGCCTGCCCTAATCCCCTCACAGATGCACACGCACATGCATCATGGATAGCCTACAAGCATGCAATCCGTTTAGTGTCATACACCGTGACGGCCGCTGCAGGGCGCAGCTCCGTCCCTACTCCCTGCACACTGAGCACACACAGACACACAGACACACCGTCTCCATCCTCCGCAGTCTCCTTCTCATCCTGCCCCGTCTGGCTGACAGGCAGATCACCGAGCAGGCAGAAACTAACTTACAACCGCTGACAGCACCGGCTGATTTCTCACCTACAAGGGGTAAGATCATACCTGGGTTTCCTCCTTTTTTTCCAGATATAACCTTCAAGGTTCTGATCAGGTGTGCAGAGGGATTGTTTATGGATGCACTTTATAGTAAAATGAGGGAAGAATAGACTCTCCTGCACGGGACATGGTCACTGTTTTCTCTTTCTCAGTTTTAGTCTAATGCAAACTGTCCATTATAGTGGATGATGGCAACCAGAAGGAAATTTGACTTCATAGGTATAAATGTATTTTAAGAAAAAAGGTTTCTTAAGATAGTGTGAGCAATAATGTGTGTGTGCCAGTGTGTGAGTGTGTGTGTTGTCTTTTCCTCCTGCATCTGTATTCTACTCATGCATTGTCCTATTTATGTTTTTGTGCATGCCTCCAAAGTCATTGTCTGTGTTTATGAGCCTGCATTCTTCAGCTCGTATGTTGCAGTACATGCCTGTCATTGACTGTGTGTGATTGTGTTTCCTCTTTTTTTTTTTTTTTGCATATACTGACTTTGCCCTTCCCTTGCCTCCTGGCCTCATTCCAGAGCAACAACAGCATGTGAATGGCGGCAGAAAGCGGCAGAATTGTCACAGAGGAGCAGCAGGAGGAGCTCCCAGCAGCCTCTGGAGCCGTCACTCACGTGAACCACCAGCACCACACACACACCCGGAGTCAGAGCCACATCCAGTTTCACCCTCTGACACACACCACCCAGTGGCAGCCGGCGGCTCCTCGCGCTCTCGCTCACACCAGGAGTCACAGTCACACTCACTTCAACACTCCCTCACACACACAGCCGCAGAAGCACGGCTGCCGGCTCACACACAGCCTCTCAGCCATGGCCAAGGGAGAGAAGGGAGAGAAGGGCTCTGCGGGGAAGCTCATCAAACCCAGTGAACCACTGTTCCCCAAAACCCCTCAGCAGGTAAGATCATCTGCTTCTTCTATGGTATTGTTATCATCACTTGAGATGGAAAGATTGTACTGGTGTAAGGCTAAAATCAGGATTTCCAATATCATCTGTCCATGTTTGTGGCTTAGTTTGGCTGCGAGTGACTTCCCATGATTGGATGGAGGGTAAAAAAGAAGATGGAAAGTGT